TTGATCTTGAGCTTTCAGTCATGGCCGTACGTACGTCATCCTTCGATCTCTGACGGTTGTGTTATAATTGAGGAAAGTGAATCACATATCCGAGACAGAACTACCAATACTATCTTGCAAATGCACAGATACATCTCCAAAAACAATCTGTATCTTTAAACAACAAATATCGAGTCAGGGCTTCCGGCGTATGTTGAAATTCGGAATAAGAAGTGCAAATGACATGAGTCTCAGTTAGAAACAAAATTCTCATGGATATTGGGAGACATTGTCGCCTGTCAGCACTTTGAATTTCCATTGAAGAGCCACCCATTAATTGGCCTTCGCTGTGACTTTCCAAACGAGAAAATGCAATTTGTTTCGATGATTTCAATTGAGAAATTGCAAACTATTTAAACGGTGGGGTTTGCATGGCAATTCCAATCAATAAATCACAAGAAGTGTTTAGTCAATAAAAATATTGAAAACAAAGGGTGGAAGAGCCAGGCCATGAACTTGATGGTCTATAGTCTGAACTATAAACTCTACTGGCTGTTTTTGTTTATAAACTGGAACTGAAAATCAATATATACTCTATAGAAAGAAGGATAAACAAATTATGCATAAGGATACCATACTATAACCTTTCTTTGGCTTCATTTTTTTTTTTCAGAGTGACCTCATGGATAAGGATATAAAATTGTAGAAGAAACCCACCCCCTTACATGGGGATAATCCACAACGTATGGCCCCGAACTTCTTAAAAAATTGAAAAACTTCTAGTTGCCAGAGAAGTTTTGTTTACATGTCCATCCGCCCACAACAACCACCCCCTAAAAAGGAAGGAGTGTCGGTTTTCCAAGCGAGCTAGGAAGGTGGTTGCTCCGCCATGCCACCATAGAGGCTGTCGAAGCATGAAAACTTAATCATATTAAAAGCCAGCTCTGAAACCGGCTTTTAAACTAGGCAAAGGGCCACCTAGCCACCGACTACTGGCTGATTAAACGATACAGGCTGAGTGGCTGAGTGAATAATACGAGTAAGTAAATGAGCAAAAGTTAATGCCTGACTGACTGGCTGAAAATAACTAACTGGAAAAACTAAAGCCTGAATGAAAAACAAGAGAGGCAGCAGCGGCACAAAGGTAGGCGTAGCATGTAACAAGTAGCATGTTGTGGTGGCTTGTACTCGACACACAGGTAGCTCTATTGCCGTTGTCTCAAATAAATTATAGACAAGTGCATGCCAGCTACTGGCAGCAACAGAAAAACAGAAAATTGCAAATTCTTATTCATTGGAGCAATGTTGAATTTTCACATCACAGAGCCAGCGCGAGCGCCATTTGAGGGAAAAACAAAGCAACGACCTCATACCTCAAAAACAAAAGACAGCTTACACATGGTCTTGGGTCATGGTCATCCAATGATGATGATGATGACGATGACGATGTCTGTCAGGTTTTTAATTAATAATACAACTCCTCCTGCTGGGGGTGGTGCTCCTTGCACCACCAGTGGACATCTTTGATGATGGATTTTTGATAAATTGTGAAAGTGCTCGTCGGCCCAGACGACAGCTAATTGACGCCTTTGGCCCCACCCACCGCCCATTCCCATTTTCCCAACATCTGGGCATACATATGTTATTAAAATGGCGATAAAAATGCGATTAATAATGAAGACTCGCACACACAAAGCCCATCACGTGAAAGGCCAGAAAACACACAAAAAAAAAAAAGAAATCGCAGACGTCTTTAACAATTTTACGCGCTCTCTTCGACTCTAAAAGATACATAGCTCCAAGATAGCTAGACGACTAAAAATAGAAGTAAAAGTAAGTGCAAGGGGGCTTGGCCTTGGCCGCCGTTTTATCTAAAATAGTTAACATTTTATCAGACTGAGGGGACTGAGTGCGCGGTATCGGTTTCCCATTTATGGGTTAATAGGGAAGAAAGATAGATAGGGCTCCTCGAATTTCATATCCATGGCAGGGTTTCCATGCTATTCAAGTCTTTTGGCTTGAAGTTTGTAAAATTTAACTGCATAGCTGTTTTTTATGACCTGACTGTTGGTTAACTTTTGAATCTTCAAGAGATTATAAACTTTCATCTCGTAAATTGAATAATAACATGTTTTTTTTTAATTTAAGGCAACAACTAAAGGCCATCAATTTGCCACAATTTAATGTAAAACTTAATGGCACTACCCGGCCATCTATCATCCTGTTGTCTCATATTTGAGTAAAGGGAAAACCTGTTACCCTTACACGAAGTCAACATATGCTAATGACCACTGCTATTACCACCTAGCTAACGCCATTAACGCCTCTCGAGAACCACCAAGTGGCTTATGAAAATATTTCACACATGCCGCAAAAAACAAGCAGACAGAACACATGTCACACCTCCTAGAAACTAGGCCTCAATTAGGGCCCAAATATTAAAGCCTTTAATGACATTAGCCCTGAAGCAATCGGAGTGAAAACAATAGCCAAATGAGTACTATATCTTATCAAAATATTTCAATAGCCACGCAATTGCGCCAAAATTATGCAGACACGCAAAACGGCCAAGAGAGCTATAAGAACCCGATGAGTTCTACTCGATTGTTCTTGGGCTTTGGCCAGTGCAATGTCATGTCTGGGGATTGCCTTGGTGGGTGTACTACGAACATACATACTCGTAAGTGTAAAGAAAATTGCTTCGGCGGCAAAAAAAGATCTTGGGAGTCAATGATCCAGGGTTCAACGAATGGCGATTAAGCCAATGGCTGGGTGTTATCAGTGGACTTTAGCGAGTGGCTTGATATTTCCAATCTTCTGCAAGTTCTGTTGGGTTATTTTCCACTTTAAATATGGGAAGCTTTATAGAAATGTTTAGGAAATGTTTTAGTTCACAGACCCTATTTGTGGAAAATGATGTCAAGGCTGATACTTCAAATCTCAGCTACTGGTTTTTTGCTGTCTTGGCAGTACTTTTCCCCCTGCTAGCTTTTTTTTTTGGCCAACTCCAAGCAGCATGTCACTGCCACGCCCCCTAACAATGATGTCATACAGACTTGTCTCCGAAACGTTCCAGTTTCCCCAGCTTTTGACTTTGTCACGCTTTTCCCAGCGGGCGATTTTCCACACTTGACTTTGTACTTCCTCCCGCTTTCAGCTCCACCTCAACTGATTTCTTTTTTTGTTTAAATATTATGTTTTTTTTCGAGTGCATTCCGGGCTGCAGTTGCTCATCGACTTGGGCTTGGGCTTTGGATGCACTGGGGGGGCTGTTCCACTGTTTCATTTTCTTTTTTTGCGCCTGCCCTGGATTTCCATTTTGTCGTATTTGGTTTTTCTGCTAGCGATTGTGAGTAAAAAGTTGTGCCGCACTAATGGCAGCTGTGAATGCATTTATGTTTATGGTCTAGTTTTTCCATTCTTTTTTCCGCTTTTCCCCACAAGCTTTTTTTGTTTTGCTCACATTTCTAGCACCTCTTAAGGGCGACCATTTATTCTTATCCCCACAAGTCACATTAGTGCGAAGGCTGATATATTATATATTTTTTTTAAGAAATCAAGAGAATACTTTATATTTTTTTTTAAATAAAAAACATTTCTAAATAATAAAAATGCAAATAAAATACCAAAAAGAAAAAAAGAGATGATTATTCATCGGAGCCCATGTGTGAGATCATTTGCATACCAATCAGATACGATTACATAAATACCTCGAATATATATATATATTCTCGATTGGCATTCTTCTGAGACACCATTATCGATCACCTGCTTTGGACTCACCTTGATAATTTACCGATTTTCAACTGGAACTGTATTTATTTTTGGTGTTTTGTGTTTGAAGCGATTTGTAGATTTGCAGGTCGGAAGAGTGTGCGATTATAATCGCGCGAAGAACCACAGCAAAGAGGAGATATGAGGAATGAGAGGAAAGACGAGATTAGAGAGATAACTTGCACGGAAACCGGTTACCGTTATTGTTTACACCAAAATTCGGAAGTGGGAAGCGACGGGGGAAATGGGAAACACGTCTAGGGGGGGATGGGGGGCGCTCGGGAATCAATAAAACAAACACTCCACTAAAAACTGAAAACAGAAAAACACATGGAAAGTGCCGGACTGCAGCCAGTATACAATTTTCTATATTTTTGGTTGCTTTTTTTTCTCGGTTTGGTGCACAAATAGGCGAATCGCTAGATGTGAGATGTGTGAGAGATCTAGGAAGTGCGTGTGCAGCATTTATTTTAAATAAATAATCTTAAAAAAATACGAATAATTCGTTGGTTGCGTTGAGGAGATCTCAAAGATACTCGGTATTGTGCCTCTTGGGCTGCTGCACAAGCACTCACACACACACGCACACATTCACATCTGCGAGGCTTCACTGTATGTATGTTTATTAATATATTCCAGACACGCGGCCCACAGAAAATACACATTCGATTCACGGCGGCAGCGGCAGCGGCGGCGACGACAAAAAATTCTCACATAAAAGGAAGATACACTACGCATAGGCCTTCCTGCGGCGCGTATCTCAAGGATTCGCTTCTTATATAACGCTCTGGCACTGCACCACTTACACTTTTTTTTGGCTGGCTAAATCGCGTCCGTTCTTTTTATTTAATAAGATTTATTCAGACACCCGCGCACGGACGACCGCAGAGTTGTGTAGTTTCGTATGTTGTGTGAATTTTTTCCGAGGCGTTCGTCCACTCCAATGGCGAATGGCGACTCGTGGCGAATGGCAATTGAATCAGCTGTTTGAAATCCGAGAGATACACGAAAAGCCAAAAGATACTTCGGTAATTTTATTTCAAAGGAACAAATAGAACATAACTTTTTACTGTTAAATGAGCTATCTATTCTTTATTATATATAAGCAATTATATACTTCTTTTATTTTTAGCATTAGACCATATTACCAGGTTTAGATACGAAACGGTTAAATTTTCGAATTTCGGACCCACTGTAAGTTTAGTGTGGCTGTAGGGATTTTTTGCAGTGTTGGAAAACGATGCTGTAAACGGTGGGATTTTTCACTCCATTCCCGCATTCCGAATAAATATTTATACTTTTTCCTGCATTTCATTGGAATGGTAAGTTTTCTTTATTAAAAAATGTGAAGATATATATTTGAAAGATTTTCTGCAGTTCTCGCTGTTGCACAAGGAGGAAAATGCGCACGAAAACGCGCTGTGGGCCTGCACCTGGGGCCGGGATACAGAGCCGGCCGACCCGGAAGACGGCGCCACGGAGCCCGAGGAGGAGAATCCTTTTGACTTTGAAAAAAAGGAGAAGCCCCCAAAGGACTTCATAGTCACCGGTGGACTCGATGACCTGGTTAAGGTGTGGGACGTGCGGGAGGACAACACACTGCAACTGCGCCACAAACTTAAAGGACACGCTCTAGGCGTTGTCTCTGTGGCAGTCAGTTCCGATGGCAAAAGTAAGCGAGAAAGCTATTTTCTCACAACCTCACTAATCGAACTTCTTACAGCCATTGCCAGTAGTTCTCTAGATTCCAGCATGTGCTTGTGGGATGCCCGGACTGGAGACAGAAAGCACTTGCTCACGTTTGGCCCTGTGGATCTTTGGACGGTGGGATTCTCGCCCTGTGATAAGTACGTTATCTCCGGGTTGAACGACGGCAAGATCTCAATGTACAGCGTGGAAACTGGAAAGGCAGAACAAACCTTGGACGCCCAGAATGGAAAATACACACTGAGCATTGCCTATGTGAGTTCCGCAACAAAATTACCATCCTCTCTAAGCTAAAAATCTTGTATTTCTAGAGTCCCGATGGCAAGTACATAGCCAGTGGAGCCATAGACGGTATCATAACCATCTTTGACGTGGCTGCGGGCAAAGTAGCTCAAACCTTGGAGGGTCATGCTATGCCGGTGCGGAGTCTTTGTTTTTCGCCCAACTCTCAAATGCTGCTGACAGGCTCAGACGATGGTCACATGAAGCTCTACGACGTGGCGCACTCGGACGTGGTGGGTACTCTCTCTGGGCACGCTTCCTGGGTGCTCTGCGTGTCCTTCTCGGATGATGGTAAGCACTTTGCCAGCTCCTCCAGTGACCGCAGTGTCAAGGTGTGGGACACATCGGAACGCAAGTGTTTGCACACCTTTACTGAGCACTCCGATCAAGTGTGGGGAGTGCGCTACAGCCCGGGAAACGATAAGGTGGCCTCCGCCTCCGAGGACAAATCGCTGAATATCTACTACTGCCCGCCAAATGCCATTGTGTGATTGAAGTTCCGTATAATAAAACGTAGGCTTAAAACAACTAACAATTGGCATTTATTTAGTTACTGCTATCGGGTTTGTTTTGAAGAAGCTGCTGCTTAGCCTGCGTGAGAAGCGTGTCCTTGTACTTCTGATCGGGTATGTACACGTTGAAAGTTTTAAAATAATGTAGAATGTTTTCTATAAAATGTAAAGAGTGAAAGAGATCAGTAAAAGGTTTTTAGGTCTCGAGACTTTAGCTCTTACCAACATGAGGCTCTTTGAGCTTGTATTCATTAGCTATCTTATTAACTGGCCAGGATTCCGGATCAAGTTGATGATCATTGATGAACTGCAAGGCTTGCCGCAACGTACACCTTCCTGGGGTAACACGTGTAGGCTCCAAGTAACCATATTCAAAGTCTTCCGGAGTCTTTCGGTCTTTGGGGAGAACTCGCTCCTCCTTTGCATCTGCCGCCGCCTCCGCTTCCTGTCGATCCTTAACTCGTTGGATCTAGTCAGTAAAATTAAAGATTAATATATATATGTCCACTACGTTTCCCGTTTCCGTAACCCACAAATCGATCCTGCGAGGTTACATAAACATCTTTCAATCGGCTGTCCAAGGTGGCGTCCTTGACATTTAGCTTATCTACAAACTTCGGGTCAACTGTAAGAGTAAAGTAAAGCTTAGAAAACAGCAGACATATTTTAAATTTCGTAGGATTCTCACGTTCTAAAGTCCGCTCCATGTCCCTCAAATTGGAATCAAATTTGGGTGCCGGTGTTGGCTTCTCCCGTTCCAGGACACGATGGGCGCGATTTTCCACATTGAAGCGGTTAGCCTTGCGGATCACCTTCGAAGCCAGTTGACCCATGGCGGAACAGAAGTGGGTTTAATTTACGATTCGGCCAATTTCACAAAAATAAAAGTTGGACCGTAAACATAACCAAATCGAAAAGTGTTGGGAAGTGATTAAGGTGTCAAACAGCTGATGTCTAGTGTTGCACAGTACCGCGCGCAACAGATGTAAACAAACTGAACGTTAGCTCTTTTTTAAACTCTACTATTTTGATTAAAGAATCCTAGAAATGCTGCCTCGAAGATGCAGCTGGATTCTGGCCAGGTGCCTGTACAGTACCAAGGCGAAACGAGAACTGAAAACCCGCTACAGCGGCGAGTTCCCAGAGAAACTGCTCACCAGAAAACAAAAGGCGCCCGCGCACATGTACATCGCCAATTCGGAGGCTGCCCAGAGGATTGGCCAGTACCTGGAACCACATCTGCATCAATCCGGCTGTGATACAGTCATGGAACTCAATCCAGGAACGGGGCACTTTACCCGGCATCTACTGGACAAGGAGACTCAGTTCCGGCGGATTATTCTTCTCGAGAGTATGGACCATTTTATGCCTCGCCTTCAGGAGCTGCATTCGCTTTACCCAGAGCGTGTAAAGGTGCAGCAGGGAGATTTTGTTAATCTATGGAAACTCGTCTACATGGACAAAATGGACGGAGGTAGCCGCGTTATGGACCTCCTCAACGATGTTCCCCGAAAAGCCTTTAACGATGGTGAGTAAAAATAAACCCATATGTAATGTTGATCTTTAAAACCATTATCTCTTTGGTAGATGTCAACATGCTGGTCTTTGGGGCAGTCGGTTCATATCATTTCTACAAGCATTTGATCAACTCGCTTATTTTTCAAACCAGCCTCTACAATTTGGGACGCTGTGAAATGATTCTGGCCATGCCGCCACCCATTTACATCGTAAATAACACAAAAAATATAGCAGAAAATATTTAATCAAAGAGGTTTTATCATTCTAGCATCTCACATGCACCAATGAGATTGGTTATCTCATTTACCGTGCCACCAGTATACTGTTTCAGATCCTATATAAGCACCAGTTTATAGCTAAAGTGCCTAGGGAAGATTTCCTTCCCATGCAATCCAATTACACTCTCACCAAGGGCAGCAAGTTGGGCAAGGTGCGATCCATCAATCCGGAGTACCTCTACCTAGTGAAGTTCACACCTCGTCGCAATCTTCACGAACTTGTGCCACCCCAAGATCTTCCTGCTCTCTGGTTTTTTATCAAACAAAATTTTGTTAGCCGCCGAAACCGCATTATACCCAACTTGGAGTAAGCATAAACGGCTTATGTTGTATATTATTTAAATTATTTATTGATTTTAGGAAATGGGTGCCTGGATGCGGCCCTCGACTGATTATAAATCCGCACAAATCCGAGCCTCTCCAGCCCACCTATCCGGATGAATCCCCCGAGAAATTGCCCCAGTACTCCAGCCAGAGTACAACGATAAGTCTGAGGAACTATTATCCGGGCATTAACATCTATACCCAGTTTGGGGACCTTGGGCCAAGTCAAATGTTGACTCTATTTAGCCAGTTCCGACAATGGCCGGAGTATGCTGAGAGCTCATTCCTGGCGTCGTTGGAAAACGCTTTGCTCAAACTAGAAACTGCTACCGATGAGCAGAATTTAGAGGATGGAGTCACGTTGCCAGAGGAGGATGATGCAGACACAGAGGAGCTTCTCGAAGAGGAAAGTCCCGCCCCGGCGGCAACGGCAGCCAAGGGACGTAAAAAAGCTAGTTCCTAATATGTTGTTAGTTGGTTTTAATTAGCTAGGTTTTCCCACATTAAAAACTGATTGAAGTAAGGAATTGAATAATAACTAAATTTTAATTTATTCAAATTTGAATTAAAGTACACAGAAACACAGAAGTCATTTATCAATCTTAACATATTAAGTAAAAGGGGACTGTATTGCTATTCCACCAAATTGAATTTGAATAGAACCGTGAGTATTTTTGTGATTTATAAAACATTAAGCACCTATATTTAAAGACTAAAAAAAATTCGAAATGTTTTCACTGGCATGTACGGAACAACATAAAAAATTATCTATTTTAAGTTTTTCTTCCATCTTGTTCTAAGCACACTTTCCCTGGGCCAGCAAACGACTGCCGCGAGAGCATTTCTCAGCCAACTCGAGATGGTAATCTGGAGGAGCCTCCTCGGCATCATCTGCGATACGAGTTACCAAATGCACCGATAGCTTCACACAATCCACCATCAAGTTGGTGGGATTTACACCCAGCACATAGGTGGCCTCTTTGTAGGGACAGGGATTCTCCTTGACGTTTCCAAACTCGTAGCAGGTGTCGCGAATCATAAAGTAGTTGTTCTTCGAGCAAGGATTCTTCACGCACTCGGGTATGACCCGCTCCTTGTAGAGCACCAGCATCTGTCCGGCCTCACATGGACCCTGTCTGTAGGCCGGATAGCAGGCATCCGTTTCCGGATAGTACAGAGTGGCTGTGCGTGTAAAAAGAAACGGGGAATCACACAACATTGTTATGTCATCGATGGATAATTATTCAATATTATTCACCTGGGGCACAGTCGCAGACCCAGTCATTCTGCTGCTGCTGATCGCCCGGGTAGAGCAACTGGAACTTGGGGCACCGCGCCGGGGAGTAGAGTGGCTTGCGACCCTGAGGGCGAGACCAAAATGGAGGATGATGAGATCGTGAGACAATATTTATTATCAGTCTTAAATACTCTCAAATTGAGGTATGGAAATTTTATATATTTTTAAGACTTTGTATACTCTTTTAGACAGTATTATAGTTTGGAACAAAATAGCAGTGAGGGTGAGGTTTAATTGTTATTTTAATTATTTAGTCTTAACACAAAGTAAGTGGTTTAAATATTTCTTTTTTTCTGAGTATGAAAAAGAAGCTATAGCTATAATTTATTGGAAATTCGACTTAATCTTCAAATAATTAAAAATCAGATCACGATAAATACATCTATTCCGAGGAATCTTTTTACTTTTTATCATTAATTGAGATGTTTTTGTTTCTACCTTTATTCAAATTTTTAATTAACTACCCACGTTTTTTCATGCGTCATAATTTGTTTATAGTTTTTTATAAATCAATTAATTTTGACTGTATTTATTTACATCTTCAGACAGACCCCATTTGGTAATTTGTTTGTTCGACTGGATAGGGTATTTCCAGCTTCGCAATCTCCAACTGGTCAGCCGCTCTCGCCTTGAAATTTCTTATCAAAGCTGGTCATTAGGGTTTCTTGTGGCCACTTACCGCAAGGTTGGCCTTCTTCTTATCAATGTCTTGATCCTCGACGAAGGCGATTTGGGCACGCGCCACTTTCCAAAAAAGTGCCAAGAGCGCACAGATCAGCATCAGGCGGATATGGGCCATTTTTTTTTTTAAATCTCTTTTTTTCTCCTCTCTGTTTTGATTAACGTTCGTAAAGATATGTAACAACAATTCAACTTTCTTTATTTGTTTTTATATTAATCCGCTTCCGAGCCGCAATCAACAAGCGCTGAAGCTTCGTATTAAGCTTATTATTATCAAATCGGCTCAGGCTAGAGATGTGTAAGCTTGGTTAGTGGAATAAGTCGATGATTCGATAGGAGATCGATAGCAGAATGACCATTTGATTAGTTTTTCATTTTCCCCAAACCTGAGAGCAATAGCAGTTATGTTTGTTCGGGATATTGGCTTGGTAGTACCTCAAGAACATGAGGAAGGCAAAATTCTTTTGGGCTAAAAAAAAATTCAACTTTGTTGACCTGTGTAATTTGGCTCTTGAATTCGCCGCAATTCGGCTCTTATTATAGTTTTCCAACACTAATCGCTCAGACAAGTATGTATGTTATCGAATGACTACCATCTCTATACGATATTTTCCTTTGTCAAAATAAAAAGTAAATAAATAAAAAATTTGATCCAGGTTCGAAACAAACCACCCACACACCCTGAACGGCCAGATGGACGACGAGGAGACATCAGGTGGGCAGAGTGAAATATTTAATATGTTGCAATAACCCCTTAATCGGAATACCCACAGAAATCAATTCTGGGCAAGGCCATCAAAATGGGGAGGACCAAATCGGGGACAGTGCAATAGAAGACCATCAGCCTGAAGATGTCTTCGAGGATGCCTTCGAGGATCCCGTGGCCGCAGAGGTCGAGGTGGAGGCACAGCCTCTGGATCCTATCGACGACGCTATCCAAGACGATTTAAGCGGAAATCCCCCCAGCAGCGACATGTCATTGGAGAGTCCAGGAAGCGAAGGTAAGCTGCGTGAATAGAAACCCCCTGGAGATGAAGCTATATACTTTTTCTTCAGACGACTCTGACTTGGAGGCCCTGCCCCGGTGGATGATCCCCGAGAACCGCCTGCGCTCTGCTGTGGACATGATGGTGTCCCAGGCCCGCACCCAAAACGGCGGAATTGCTGCCCTTTTGAATCGCGACAACTTCCTGCAACGGGTGCGCAGCATAGTATTTAGCCAGGAGAGGCGACGCAGTCGCACTAGCGACGAAACCAGCCAAGATGGAGGAGAGCAAGCGGAGGAGCCAGCCCAGTCCATGCCACGAACACCCATCGACATTGACATGGAGGAAGGAGTGCGTTTCGACACAAACCTGCCGGCGGAGCACTCCTACTTCGGCAACCATTTGAGCCGTGTGCCCGGCGTAGATTATTTGGAAGTGGGCAGCACCCACCACATGCTTATCTTCCTGCATCAGCACATCCTCTTTCCCGGCGAAGTGCTGCCTTTTATGATCGATGGCAGCCTGTTTGATGATGAGATGCCCGGATTGGATGGTCTGATCTTTGGAGTGGCCTTTCCTCTAATGGAGCCGCTCGAGGACAGCCCCCATAAGCTATATGGAGTTACTTGCCAGGTGTATGAGAAGGGGGAAAGTGGTCGTCAGTTGGTTTTCTACAAATCGCGAGCTTTGCAGCGCATCGTCATCGACTGCAATGACATCCAAGGGTAAGCTTTGTCATGTCCTCCCCTACCAAACTCTAATAATTACTTTTCTCTTTCAGGCCACCACAATACATCGCACGCAATCCGACGAGCAAGTGCTTCAGCAAGGTTAAGATTCTGCCCGAACACTTTCTACCAGAGCCACTAAAGTGCGTGGATATGGGCTCAATGGCCAGATTTAGAGACATCCCCTCGATGCGCGACAAATACCGACGCTATCAGTTATCCAGCACCCCTTGGCCTGCAGATGCCTGCCAGGAATATGCCTACGAGGAGATCGTAGAACGGGCACGCAAAAAACTGGAGGTACACAAGATTGACACCATGCCCCGGTGTCCCATTCAGTTGTCGTTTTGGCTTGTGCGGAACCTACATCTTACCGAGAAGATGATGAGGCTAACCTTCCTTACGGATTCGGTCAACAAGCGACTTCAGCTCATCGGCAGCACGCTCAAGGAGGAATCGCTCTTCTATTGTCGCTACTGCAACAGCAGTCTAGCCTACTGTTCCGACCTTTTTGCCATGTCCAAGCATGGGGTGCAGACGCAGTACTGCAATCCCGGTGAGTACCTTGACTTGTTCTGCGCCGAGGCACTGACTAATGTGGTTGGTTTTTCAGAGGGCTATATACACGAAACTAACACCGTGTACCGGGTGATGTCGCACGCCATCGGCTACAGCGGCGAGCCATCTACCAAATTCAGCTGGTTCCCCGGCTACCAGTGGCACATTATCCTTTGTAAATTCTGCGCCCAGCATGTTGGATGGGAATTCAAGGCTGTCGAACCTAATTTGGCACCCAAAGTTTTCTTCGGCCTGGCTGGGTCGAGTGTGCGGATCGGAAAAGCCAGCGATAGCACTCCGGCAAATGGTAGCAGCTTTGTGGTACGCAACATGCTGCGACTTATCTCCAACGAGATGGAATGAGGCTGGCGCGTTGTGAAGCGATTTCTCAGTTGTCACTGCTGCAGCTGTTTCAGGCGTGGCCAGTAGGGCAATGCTGTGTTTATTTCGTTTCACAACTATAATTTTTGGTAAAACACATACTGTTCTCTGAATGTTTCCCACGAATGGAGAGCATTGGTTTAAAACGTAAGATTGATCTACATATTATCGCTTATATGTTCTTTAGTTAAAGTAAATTATACCTAATTGATATTTAAGATATTGTCAACATAAATTTTCTCTATGATAAGTTGATTATTTGTTTTTAAAATTTTTTATTGAAAAACACTATTTTTGTACGAATTATTCATCCAAAAGGGCGGCAAAAGAAGTGGATAGTTTCTGTAAAGACAGTATGGGTTAGGATAAAGGAAATGTGATACTCCATGCTCACTTACCGCCTTGCAGAATGGGCACAGACCAAAGGATACTTCCAGAAAGGTCTTACCCTCCAGTTGAGTTTGAAACCACTCCTTCAGGCAGGCTGCATGACACTTGAGAACGCATTTGGTATTATCACAGGATACGAGGGGCACCTCGCCCTTGTCCAAGCGGTAGGAGAAGCATATATTGCAGCGCAGGTCCTGATTGTCCTCCTCATCCATTTTTTGGTCCTGGTCATCGGCCCAGTCCGGCATGGGAAAGAAGAGCAAATCAAAAATCCGCAGCAGGTTCTTGTACATATCCATCTCCGAATCCCAGTTCCCAAGTCCATCGCTGAGGACATGCCGCAAGCGACTCACTTCGTCTGTGGGGCCGATGATCTTTATCTCCATAGACGCCAAGCAGGCGAAGGGGTCCAAACTGGTAACCTTAAGGTACACTCGATCTTTTAAAGGAAAAACCCGTGAATTATGTTTCGTGGTCGCCGGCGATGGTTGCAGGACATGGCACAACTCATCGATGTTCATGAAATTGTCGTAGAACGGCCGCAAATCTTCCAGCACTTTTAAAAACAATACCAATGCTTCCTCCAGGGAATGGGCGCTTTTCTCGAGCATTTCACCCAGTGGAATGCAGTCTGGAACGCTGTGATCCAGTAGCTCCAAAGAGGGCAGACCCAACTCTAGGTAATGTTTTTCGAAATCTACAAACTCGCAAAAACGGATCCTTGTGTATCCTTCATTTATCTGCAGACGGTACTCGTTGGGCTTGTGGAGGGCAAGGATGTCAGCGAATATATTTCCTTGTGGTGGCGTTATCTTTGGGACGTCTATACGTTCCTTGGGCGGAAGTAGCTGCGGCAATCTGTCCATAAAATCCTCCAGCATCCAGTCTTCCTGAACTGTCATATTGGTGGCTGTATACAGTTTGTACTCGAATTTTTCCATCACATATAGTTCGAAGTTATTGAGGGCCGGGTAGTGAGGCAGATATAGTTTCAACCTAAGCCAGTTATCCTGATTTATACGAGATAAAGATTAAAGATTTTGGCGGGATGTTCTATTTTGTTTACTTGAATGCTCACCCCACACATAAAGGTTCCGCGAATGATACAGGATCCGTCATCTTTCACATCAGCCAGCAACCCAAGATATTTATCGCAGAGAAGCTGTTGCAAAGATTCTGAAGAAGATTTTTTTGTGTCCATGATATAAAATTCAAATTTCAAGTTATAAACAAATATCAGCTGGGAAGGCAAGGCAAGGAAAATTAGAATCCACAAAGTCCACACATCAGCTGATAGTAATCGATAACTTTGGCGGGAGCTTTTGAGTATCGATTAAAATTTTTAAACTGATTCAAGAATCTGTGCTAGAGTTGCTTCTCATTTGAATGCTTTCTCATGTACAACTACAAGGAATTTAGCATAGCTTATTTGTTTACCGGCTGTTTTTTGGAAACATTTGTAGCACAGTGGCATAGTTTGGTTTGCTCTCTGAGCTTATCAGCCAAATTTACGTTATTTACTGATTTGATTCCGCCCTATTTGCTCTTCGTCAGAGCGCAACACCTGCAGGCCACACTGTTTTTTTTGTAACACCTGCGTGGCGGCCCCGGTATCAATAGCCGCCAAAGCCTGATAACCCTCTCTCCTGAATTGGTCATCGATCGCTGGTCAGCTATTTAAGGTTCTTCATCGTTCCCTGCCTTCCATTCACGATTATCACTTGCGTTCGCGCGTACCGAAGACTTTGTAGTTCCAGGGAAAAGATTAAAGTAGCTTCCCCCACAGCAAAAATGTTGCGAATTATCCTGGGATTGACTCTGATTGCGGCAGTGTCTGTGGGCGCCACGGAAGTCCGGGAGTGTAAGTAGTAAAATCACGTGACGCTTCTGAATACCCAAATCTCTATTTTAATATTCAAAAACTAATTAAAAAACTAATTTAAAAGGTTATAGTCATGATTACAGTACAATTATTTAAAATACCTTCTGATCGTTAAAGATTGAAATAAAAAAGCAGAGATAGTTTTATCTCAAATGAGTTTATTTTAATTTAAAAATAAACTTGAAGACAGCCCATAAGAAGATAATGTACTATAGGCTCGTTTCCATTTAAAAGGTAATCAATAAAGTAGTCCAATCAACTTATTACTGAACTTGTCTCCGTGATTCACTTCTCTGATATTGACTTGGAAAACCCCATAATCTTGTTTAAACTATAGTAACTATTGCCAAAAATATTTCGTAGAATAAAAGATTATCTCCTATTCCATTGATAACAGCTTATCAGAGAATGAAGCCTCCTAATCTCTTCCAGATTACCCCTTCATGAAGGGGGCCTAGGCATAGGCTACTTTTTTGCTTACATTTTTTTTTATAATTTTTTTTATTTTACTATTTTTACAGGTAAAAACAAACCATCTCCACTGGGCGTTAAAGTGGCAGACTGCGATGAACCACCATGCGTGGTATACAAGGGGTCCTATGCCGTGATGGAAGTGCATTTTCTAGGCAGTATGTTTTAATATTTGGCAAATATTTTGGCACTCCTTGATATCCTTGAATCCTTTTGCAGACAGAAACAACATCAAGAGTATCACCGCCACCACTACAGCCAAAGTTTTGGGCATGAATCTTCCATATGCGTTGCCCGAGGAAGTGTCCAATGTCTGTATAAATCTCCTCTACGGCGCCATGTGTCCCATTGACAAGGATGAAGATGTCACCTATCAGTTCAACTTCTATGTGGACCCATCTTTTCCCGAAATCACGGCCGATGTCACTGTTACTTTGAATGATGTCAATGGAGATGCTATCACCTGCTTTGTGGTCAGTTGCAAAATCCGAAAGGGAGCCACTGCGGCAAAAAGCGATTCAAACTTGTTGGCCTAAGTGAGCCAAAAATACACAACGTAATTCCACCGATGTTGTCCGACTGAATATACCCCATTATTTGCTTAAAAATAAATTCAAAAGTATTACCACTTCCCTAGAAATGGACTTCTTTAGAAAAATGGGGGAATTCATGGGAGTGGCCATTTGGCCCACAACGATGTCTATATCTTTGTCAGTTTAGATCTGATCTTTGAGCTGAATACCTTAAACGATTGGTAGATCGATTCTCTATCAATCCTCAACAAAACCTCTGTACAAATTTTTTGATCGATTTTTCACAATTTTTCTGATGGACTCCTTCGAAAAATGGGGAAATGCTTGTGAGTGGTCATTTGGCCCACAACGATGTCAATATCTTTGTCAGTTTAGATCCGATCGTTGAGCTGAATACCTTAAACGATTGGTAGATCGATTCTCTATCAATCCTCATCAAAACCTATGTACAAATTTTTTGATCGATTTTTCACAATTTTTCTGATGGACTCCTTCGAAAAATGGGGAAATGCTTGTGAGTGGTCATTTGGCCCACAACGATGTCTATATCTTTGTCAGTTTAGATCCGATCTTTGAGCTGAATACCTTAAACGATTGGTACATCGATTCTCTATCAATCCTCATCAAAATCTCTGTACAAATTTTTTGATCGATTTTTCACAATTTTTCTGATGGACTCCTTTGAAAAATGGGGAAACGCTTGGGATTGGCCATTTGACCCACAGCGATGTCTATATCTTTGTCAATTTAGATCCGATCTTTGAGCTGAATACCTTAAACGATTGGTACATCGATTCTCTATCAATCCTCATCAAAATCTCTGTACAAATTTTTTGATCGATTTTTCATCAATTTTTCTGATGGACTCCTTTGAAAAATGAGGAAACGCATGGGATTGGCCATTTGACCCACAGCGATGTCTATATCTTTGTCAGTTTAGATCCGATCTTTGAGCTGAATACCTTAAACGATTGGTACATCGATTCTCTATCAATCCTCATTAAAATCTCTGTACAAATTTTTTGATCGATTTTTTATCAATTTTTCTGATGGACTCCTTTGAAAAATGGGGAAACGCTTGGGAGTGGCCATTTGGCCCACAGCGATGTCTATATCTTTGTCAATTTAGATCCGATCTTTGAGCTGAATACCTTAAACGATTGGTACATCGATTCTCTATCAATCCTCATTAAAATCTTTGTACAAATTTTTTGATCGATTTTTCACAATTTTTCTGATGGACTCCTTTGAAAAATGGGGAAACGCTTGGGATTGGCCATTTGACCCACAGCGATGTCTATATCTTTGTCAATTTAGATCCGATCTTTGAGCTGAATACCTTAAACGATTGGTACATCGATTCTCTATCAATCCTCATCAAAATCTCTGTACAAATTTTTTGATCGATTTTTTATCAATTTTTCTGATGGACTCCTTTGAAAAATGAGGAAACGCATGGGATTGGCCATTTGACCCACAGCGATGTCTATATCTTTGTCAGTTTAGATCCGATCTTTGAGCTGAATACCTTAAACGATTGGTACATCGATTCTCTATCAGTCCTCATCAAAATCTCTGTACAAATTTTTTGGTCGATTTTTCACAATTTTTCTGATGGGGAAAAATGGGGAAATGCTTGTGAGTGGTCATTTGGCCCACAACGATGTCAATATCTTTGTCAGTTTAGATCTGATCTTTGAGCTGAATACCTTAAACGATTGGTAGATCGATTCTCTATCAATCCTCATCAAAACCTATGTACAAATTTTTTGATCGATTTTTCACAATTTTTCTGATGGACTCCTTCGAAAAATGGGGAAATGCTTGTGAGTGGTCATTTGGCCCACAACGATGTCAATATCTTTGTCAGTTTAGATCCGATCGTTGAGCTGAATACCTTAAACGATTGGTACATCGATTCTCTATCAATCCTCATCAAAATCTCTGTACAAATTTTTTGGTCGATTTTTCACAATTTTTCTGATGGGGAAAAATGGGGAAATGCTTGTGAGTGGTCATTTGGCCCACAACGATGTCAATATCTTTGTCAGTTTAGATCTGATCTTTGAGCTGAATACCTTAAACGATTGGTAGATCGATTCTCTATCAATCCTCATCAAAACCTCTGTACAAATTTTTTGATCGATTTTTCACAATTTTTCTGATGGACTCCTTCGAAAAATGGGGAAATGCTTGTGAGTGGTCATTTGGCCCACAACGATGTCAATATCTTTGTCAGTTTAGATCCGATCGTTGAGCTGAATACCTTAAACGATTGGTAGATCGATTCTCTATCAATCCTCATCAAAACCTATGTACAAATTTTTTGATCGATTTTTCACAATTTTTCTGATGGACTCCTTCGAAAAATGGGGAAATGCTTGTGAGTGGTCATTTGGCCCACAACGATGTCAATATCTTTGTCAGTTTAGATCCGATCGTTGAGCTGAATACCTTAAACGATTGGTACATCGATTCTCTATCAATCCTCATCAAAACCTATGTACAAATTTTTTGATCGATTTTTCACAATTTTTCTGATGGACTCCTTTGAAAAATGGGGAAACGCTTGGGAGTGGCCATTTGGCCCACAGCGATGTCTATATCTTTGTCAATTTAGATCCGATCTTTGAGCTGAATACCTTAAACGATTGGTACATCGATTCTCTATCAATCCTCATTAAAATCTTTGTACAAATTTTTTGATCGATTTTTCACAATTTTTCTGATGGACTCCTTTGAAAAATGGGGAAACGCTTGGGATTGGCCATTTGACCCACAGCGATGTCTATATCTTTGTCAATTTAGATCCGATCTTTGAGCTGAATACCTTAAACGATTGGTACATCGATTCTCTATCAATCCTCATCAAAATCTCTGTACAAATTTTTTGATCGATTTTTTATCAATTTTTCTGATGGACTCCTTTGAAAAATGAGGAAACGCATGGGATTGGCCATTTGACCCACAGCGATGTCTATATCTTTGTCAGTTTAGATCCGATCTTTGAGCTGAATACCTTAAACGATTGGTACATCGATTCTCTATCAGTCCTCATCAAAATCTCTGTACAAATTTTTTGGTCGATTTTTCACAATTTTTCTGATGGGGAAAAATGGGGAAATGCTTGTGAGTGGTCATTTGGCCCACAACGATGTCAATATCTTTGTCAGTTTAGATCTGATCTTTGAGCTGAATACCTTAAACGATTGGTAGATCGATTCTCTATCAATCCTCATCAAAACCTATGTACAAATTTTTTGATCGATTTTTCACAATTTTTCTGATGGACTCCTTCGAAAAATGGGGAAATGCTTGTGAGTGGTCATTTGGCCCACAACGATGTCAATATCTTTGTCAGTTTAGATCCGATCGTTGAGCTGAATACCTTAAACGATTGGTAGATCGATTCTCTATCAATCCTCATCAAAACCTATGTACAAATTTTTTGATCGATTTTTCACAATTTTTCTGATGGACTCCTTTGAAAAATGGGGAAACGCTTGGGATTGGCCATTTGACCCACAGCGATGTCTATATCTTTGTCAATTTAGATCCGATCTTTGAGCTGAATACCTTAAACGATTGGTACATCGATTCTCTATCAATCCTCATTAAAATCTCTGTACAAATTTTTTGATCGATTTTTTATCAATTTTTCTGATGGACTCCTTTGAAAAATGAGGAAACGCATGGGATTGGCCATTTGACCCACAGCGATGTCTATATCTTTGTCAGTTTAGATCCGATCTTTGAGCTGAATACCTTAAACGATTGGTACATCGATTCTCTATCAGTCCTCATCAAAATCTCTGTACAAATTTTTTGGTCGATTTTTCACAATTTTTCTGATGGGGAAAAATGGGGAAATGCTTGTGAGTGGTCATTTGGCCCACAACGATGTCAATATCTTTGTCAGTTTAGATCTGATCTTTGAGCTGAATACCTTAAACGATTGGTAGATCGATTCTCTATCAATCCTCATCAAAACCTATGTACAAATTTTTTGATCGATTTTTCACAATTTTTCTGATGGACTCCTTCGAAAAATGGGGAAATGCTTGTGAGTGGTCATTTGGCCAACAACGATGTCAATATCTTTGTCAGTTTAGATCCGATCGTTGAGCTGAATACCTTAAACGATTGGTACATCGATTCTCTATCAATCCTCATCAAAATCTCTGTACAAATTTTTTGGTCGATTTTTCACAATTTTTCTGATGGGGAAAAATGGGGAAATGCTTGTGAGTGGTCATTTGGCCCACAACGATGTCAATATCTTTGTCAGTTTAGATCTGATCTTTGAGCTGAATACCTTAAACGATTGGTAGATCGATTCTCTATCAATCCTCATCAAAACCTCTGTACAAATTTTTTGATCGATTTTTCACAATTTTTCTGATGGACTCCTTCGAAAAATGGGGAAATGCTTGTGAGTGGTCATTTGGCCCACAACGATGTCAATATCTTTGTCAGTTTAGATCCGATCGTTGAGCTGAATACCTTAAACGATTGGTAGATCGATTCTCTATCAATCCTCATCAAAACCTATGTACAAATTTTTTGATCGATTTTTCACAATTTTTCTGATGGACTCCTTCGAAAAATGGGGAAATGCTTGTGAGTGGTCATTTGGCCCACAACGATGTCTATATCTTTGTCAGTTTAGATCCGATCTTTGAGCTGAATACCTTAAACGATTGGTACATCGATTCTCTATCAATCCTCATCAAAATCTCTGTACAAATTTTTTGATCGATTTTTCACAATTTTTCTGATGGACTCCTTTGAAAAATGGGGAAATGCTTGGGAGTGGCCATTTTACCCACAACGATGTCTATATCTTTGTCAGTTTAGATCCGATCTTTGAGCTGAATACCTTAAACGATTGGTACATCGATTCTCTATCAATCCTTATTAAAATCTCTGTACAAATTGTTTGATCGATTTTTCATCAATTTTTCTGATGGACTCCTTTGAAAAATGGGGAAATGCTTGTGAGTGGCCATTTGGCCCACAACGATGTCTATATCTTTGTCTTTTTAGATCCGATCCTTTAGCTTAAACGTTTGATTGATAGTTTCCCTGTCAATCTTCATCGTTTATCAATGAAAGAATGCCTCGTCATGCCTACTTCCCAACCGAATTTAAGCGTTTGAATACCTAAAGCTGTTTACCACTAAGCCCATAAAAGCCCAGTGGCATAGTTGGATTGGCCTCCCAGATTATCAGTCGAATTTAATTGATTTAATGATTTGTTTCCGCAAAGCCCAACACCTGTGCGTAACATTGTTTTGTATTGTACCACCTGTTTTGGCACCTGGCCTCGGTATCAATAGCTCGCCATATCCCGATAACCCGCTCTTCTATACTGATCATCGATCGATGGTCTGCTATTTAAGGAGCTTCATCGCTCCCAGACTTTCATTCACGATTTTTACCTGCGTTCGCGCGTATAGAAGACAGTTTAAGTGATATACTTAGGGATTGTAGCAGAATATAAAAATATCCCTACTATTAAAAATGCTTCGAATTATCCTGGGATTGAGTCTTATCTGTGGGTGCCACGGAAGTTCGAGAGTGTAAGTACTAAAAATAATAAATCTTGTATAAGACCATATGTTGGAAAATGGAACTTTAAGAAAACGAGATATTGTATATACTCTAATTCCCCGATCTTGTGTTCTTGAACTGTAAATTAGTAAATAAACAAAGCCTTTGTTTATTTCCTATTTCCTAGTCCATTGATAGCAGCTTATCAGAGACCGGCGGGTCTTATCTCTTCCTATTTTCCTATTCTAGTATTGTCACTATAGTCTACTTTTTAGCTTACCTTTTGCACTGCTTTTCATATTTTGTATTTCCAGGCAAAGATAAACCATTTCCGTTAAGCGTTTATATTGCAGATTGCGATGTTCCACCCTGCTTGGTGTACAAAGGAACCTTTGCTGTGATGGAGGTTCATTTTCTGGGCAGTAAGTTTGCAAATGCAGCATGTTTTCAACCATATATTGATCCTTGATCCTTGAATCCTTTTTCAGACAACAACAACATCAGGAACATCACCGCCACCACAACTGCCAAAGTGTGGGGCATAAGTCACTCCTACGATCTGCCCGGGGAAATATCCAATGTCTGCATAAATCTCCTGTACGGCGCCATGTGTCCCATCGACAAGGACGAGGATGTGACCTATCAGTTTAACTTTTATGTCGATCCAATATTTCCCGAAATCACGGCCGATGTCACGGTTAATTTGAATGATGACAAAGGTGAGTCGATCACCTGTTTCACCGTCAGTTGCAAAATCCGTAAGGGAGCCACCGCGGCGAAAAGCGACTCCTACTTGCTGGACTGAGAAACCCGATAATGTACCACACAATGCCACCGATTTCGGACGACTGAATATTCCCCATTATTTGCTAAAAAATAAATGCAAAGAGTCTTTTAGAGATAAGCTTTGTTTACTTTCCCTACGTCACGGATTCCAGTGTACCCGTGCCTATCGATTGCCGGATTAACTCATTCGCGTCCCCCCGATTAGATATCTGGTAGTATTTATAATTTTATATATAGTCATCGGTGACGTTGTATGTTTGCACCTAGACTCCAGCAATATATTTAACTGATTCAGTGGCAAAATTGCCAATAAAATGGCTTTGATAATCATTTATTGACCGGCACCGGTTGGCCATATGGTCAAAAGTTTGGATCCCCTTTCCAGATAACACCTTAACTGGGTGCAATTCTACACTTGACCAAATTTTGGGGTAGTCTATATGTCCCCGATGTGTGATAAGTGAAAGAAATTCAGTAAAAAATCCCAGCTTTTCGGGGAAATGATAAGAGAAAAATAGTGGCTATTGAAGTGATATCACAATCATAAGTAGTCATAAAGTACAAAGATTTTTAGTTTTATGAGGAATTCGAGTTTCTATTTAAATAAGAGAGGTTTAGTGGAAGAAACTAAAAAAAAATCGAATAACACAATCTACCAAGATTAGAGCAGTGAGTAGTATTAGCTATACACACCTAGTATATCTATGATTTAAATCTGGCTTATATAGCGAAACTTAAGTTTTATGTTTGCAGAAGCTTTAATTTTTAGTCTCATAATATAGTAACCCTTTATTGAATTTTTTTCAGTGCAAATTTCATTGAAAATAAATCAGATAATGTGGGTGAGTTGCCGGGTTTGGAAACTGGTCATTGATAACCGGGTACATTTTGCTTCTTCTTGGCTCTGCGCTCTGCGCCTGAACAGGTGTGTTGGGCTCGATGGGGCAGTTAATCAGACTTGAGATTTGTGAATTATTATTTGATTCGATTATGGCTTTTCGTCCACTTCAAGTTTACACCTTAATGGCTGCGTGTGCAGATAGTCCCGATGGCCAATAGAAAGCATTGTAACGCGAGTCACAATAAATCATAAATATTCCCCTCCTTGTGTCTCTACCATACCTTTAAATGGCGAAGGGAAAAAAGCATTACTTGTACTTAGGAAAAGAACCCCTCATGTATGCGGGAGGGCTTTTAAAATTTTATTAAATATTCATGAGACATCGTGGGTGAGCTCAGGGTCTGATTTAGACTGCTTTGGTTTTTTGGAATAAAAATAATTTGATAGATATATCACAGTAAATATAACCAATTGGGTATGGAGTTTCCACAAGTCTCTAAGTCAGCCTGTTGAGAAAGTCCAGTTGGTAGACCGAGCTGCCGCCATTTCCCTTGACCACCTTGATGTCGCACACGAAGCAGGTAGCGATTTCGTTGTCCTGGTCCACCAGATAAATTTCGATCTTTACTCCGATTTCCGGGTACTCGCCGATTGGGAAGTCGAACAGGTAGGTGACATCTTCCGTCGCATAGAGGGGACAGTAGGCGCCGTACATGAGATTGGGACAGACTGCAGCTATATCCGCGGGCAGCTCATATGGCACCGTAATTATTCCCAGGGTAGTGGCCTTCACCAGGGTCGTCAGTTTGGTTATGTACTTGTCCACGGCGAAATCAATTTCGAATTTCTGATTAGATCCTTTCACAATGTTGCAGGGAGGAGTAATGCAGTTATGCACTCGCACCTCCAGTGGAAAAGGCTTATTTCCAGAGCCTAAGTATAAGGATATTGTAAGCTGTTATAATTCCTTAATGATTTATGTTTTTGCACTTACATCGCTTAACTTCCGTGGCCGGATGCTCTTCTTCGGCTTGGACCAGGGCGAAAAGTGCCAGGGAGAGGATAATTAGCGCCTTGACTTGCATGTTTCTTGACTGGAATTGAGTTCCTCCATCGATGCGAACATCGTTTATATAGCCGGAGTGGAGCAGAGACGATCGGGCTAAGACTATCTTATCGGGGGCCAATACCCACCGACTCTTAAGCTTCGTCAGAAGTCGTATTTCGGGCCACCGGATGAAAGTTGTCGGGTCATTTTTGACAATATTTAAACATTTATAAGTGGTTTTCTAATAGGGTTTTTATAAAATATGAATAAACTATTTACTTCAGGGACATGAAACGTTTAATTCATTTGTAAGAATAGATTGATGGACTTGATGAATGGCCTTATAATTAGATATCCCTTATCTTCTTAACAAATAAAAATAATCACAATACAAATCTCTGCTTTAAACACGCTTCATTAAATTCATTTTTTGAATGGACCGTAAAATTAGGAAATGGGCCAAGAGAATTTTATCACTTCATCGGCGTTTCAGACGGGCGTCCATGGTCCAGGGTGCAGAGTCGGTGCAAAAATAAATCCCAGAGCACTCGGCAGGCCACTAAGCCTCCTGATGGCAACAGAAAAACCCACAGACATTTCTGCCCTTCGACCAAAGCCAATGACAATGGGACTTTTTGCGGGCCAGGAAAATGTGCGAGTATAAAGGAAACAGGCTAAATGTAAGCTGGAAAGTATAATTCCCCCTCCATGCCACCCATCGCACTCAGGAAGGTTGCTGAAATTTTCGCCAAAGGTAGGAAAAGCGAGGTGGGTTAGGAAAGTAATGGGTGTTGGGTATGTATTGCATAGATATTTTTGTAAGTATTTACTGAACCACCCTCGGTAATTTTTTTGCAATCTCTCAGATGCTTGGTGGTGACTTGGCCGGCGAGCAGCAGCAGCGCAGCATGAGATTGCCTCAGAATGCTTTTGAACTTGCTACGATTTGCCGCCCCCGCCCTCGAGGGCCATCCTCAAAAAATACGGTCGTCGTTGCTTCTCACATGTAATTGTTGTGACATTATTTAATATGTCAAAGCAATGGGAAATCCGGTAGGAAAAATATCCTGAACCAAGATTGGGTCGGATTTGCCCCGACTTCGACAATGAGAACCGCAATATTTGATTAGCATCAGTCAGTCGGGGGAGTCTCGAGTTCGATTCTATTTTCGGTGTCATTTAATGCAATTATCTGAGCCGGAAAATCTGATACCCAAATACTTTCGCAGCCGAAAAAGCACACACTTCCGGTTATTTCGGTTTCCGTTTGCACTTTTGAGTGTTCTCCCTTTTTTTTTGCATATTCCCAAATGTATTTCTCGGATATTTAGCTTATCTTTGATGTATGCCTATCTGCCTTTTATTTTTTAGCTGGAAAATCAATACTACTCGAAGAAAGCGAAGAGTGCTGGGAGTTCGCATATTGATTATTATATTTTGCAGAAAAGTATGCTTTACTTTTTGCGAGGAAGAATTGGCGTGGGTGTGGCATTTAGTTTATACTTCTCAGTGGAATGGGTTATCACTAACCCCGTCCAATGAGAACCAGTCTGTCAGTGCCGAGCTAACTCAATTAATTTGTCAAATCAAGCCCGCCGTCAAATGCCAGTGCCAAAGCCAAACAATTTGTCACGCCAATCCTGTGGCCTTTATCCTGACAGGAGTCGGTAGTCGCTCGGCCCCACCCACCCCATAGTTGTCTGTTCTATTTCAATTTGATATTTGTTTGCACGTAATTCAATACCCAGCGACAAACCGGTTGGGGCATTGTGTCTCAATTAGGCGACAATTTGATTTTCGTGCTGTTAATTTTTCATTAAATTTTTGGAACTGCCGTGTGCAGTCAATTAATAACGGAATTTCCGAAAAGGACACGCCCAATTGCCCGTGACCCCAGACCACAGACGTAATGTCCCCCTCAACAGGTGCTTCCGATTGGGTCCTGGACAACCCTTAATTTCCCAAAAGAGGGCAAAGGCAGGTTCTGAGAAATATAAAGTCAGTGATTTGTACGATATTATTTCTACCAAAACTATTCTCCCTTTTCTTTGACCACCCAGGTGTATTCAACTGTTTTCGTTTTAACAAGGACAAAATGACCAACTGGCCTTGAGACAATTTTTCCTGCACTTTCCTCTAGTATTGACTCGAAAAACGAAATGTCCTAGAGGGAGAGAAAGTATTTTGCGCTTTAGTGCACACTTTGATATACCTGGGAGTCTCATTTGCGAATAGCAATTTGCATATGCCGTCATGCAAAAATGTTTTTTATTAAATTTTTCCACCATGTCAAGACCGAACCTAAGGGATGCTAATTAATTTGCTCGGTACCCCACTGCCCGTTCCTTTGACTCTGTAATTAAATGAATGCAAAATTCATGTTTCCCGAAATCAGAAGAAACATGCGTTTCAACAAGTTCGACTGGCGGCTGTTGAGTAATTTTCCCCGTGTGACGTGTTGGCATTTAGAGCCGTGTCCTGCCGCGTCCTGCCAATTGTCCTTCCCCGTTTCACGTAGCAACACCGAACGCTCAGCTTAGAAATGTGTTTCAAGCGAAAAGAAGTTTGCTAAATTTGCATAAATATGTACAAGTTGTACCTACATGGTTCGTATAATTAAAATGTTAGTTTCCAGCCCGGGAGTTGCATAATTCGAGGGCACCTTTCTGTTATTACCTTTAACGGGTACAAGCTTGGAATTCCAAAGAAAATTCTTTCTGGTTTCCTTGTAACTCATAATGGGTTTACATTTCCAGTTATATGGTTGGGATGTCATTTTAAAGTGTATGACGATTTTAAAGCCTTTTTTATTTCTTTAGAAAATAATTTCAATCTTCATTAGCTCTTAAGTTAATTATAAAAATGTAAAAATTGTTTAACTTCTATAGCCAATTGACTGCTCAAGACTTTTAGGATGTACTTTGGAAGGCCAGTAATCCCCTCAATCATTTTCGCATTTAATGGATGAACGTAAACATTTTAAAATCAATTGCTGGCAGGGCGGAAATCGCTTAGCTAATTTGCATATAAAACAGTTGAATTTATGAACAAAATCTGAGAATATTGATGAAATTTGGGCCACCCCTTGACGGCTGCTGCTGTTTTGGCTCTCGACAAGTCAAGTGGGTGTAAGAAATTGTATAAAACTTGCTACAAATTGGCTATGCATATAAATTGATGTTAATGTGCCAGGCGGCCAGGCTGCCAGCCAGTCGAGGGTTGCTGCAGTGGCCCAAAAGTATGCAACGAGTGGATCGCGTCGTAATCTCCTGTTACCAGGTTGACCCAATAAATCATCATTACTAATCGGTTGCTAATTTTTCGACCGAGTTCAAATGCACCGGAGCTCCCATCGGGCCCCAAGAACACAAAAGGTGTTTAGTGCTTGTTGGCCATCTTATCAATGGCCAAAATTAGCGGCATCTGCACTTGACCAGTTCACATGTACTGGCTACCGATAATGGCCAAATCAGTATTATTAATACTAGTTTAGGGTAATTGGCTAGAGCAAACACGTTTGTTGTTATCTGAACCAATGTTTACTTTCAAGGGAATGAAAACCATTTCATTAGAATATTGTTTTCTGTTTTGATAGAATAAATTATGCTTTTCTTAACTATATTGATTAAGATTTCTAGGATTTACCTGAGGTTTTTGGAAATCACTCTACGTTTAAGACGTAATAATTGCCATAAAGTTCGAAAGAGTTGAACGTAATTTTGGTGCAAAGCCTCAAAGCGATTAGATTAACGGCCGAGTGCAAGAGAACCATAGCACAAATCTGGGGTATAAATACCCCTACGATTAATGGAATTAGGATTCATAAACCCAACTCTCTTCAAAGCAGTAACAACCTAGTTATTGAACTTAAAAACAAAATCATCAAAAACAAAAATGGCCATCTTCAAAAAGACTTCTTTGTGCCTGTTGATCTCTCTGATGTGGACTTTGGCAGCTGGGGAAACCCCCATCCGGCAATGTGAGTTATATTTAACTAACAAATATTTAAAAATAAAGACTAATAAATATTTTATACTCTTTTAGGTGCTACTGGCAGCTATCCTTTGCCTTTAATGGTGCAGATCGATGAATGCGACTCATCGCCTTGCGATTTGTGGAAGGGTTCCGATGCCAGGATAGATATTCAGTTTGTGGCAAGTAAGTAGAGGATCTATAATGATTTCATTAAAAATTCTTTTACTTACATTACCTTTCTATGATTAACAGCTCGCAATACAATGAAGAAACTGTCAGCTGAGGTTCACCTTACCTCTTTGGGCGTCACCATACCCTATGACCTGGAGGCCTCCCGCGGCAATGTCTGCACCAATCTCTTGCATGGCGCCTACTGCCCTCTCGACGCTGGCGAGGATGTAACCTACGAGCTGCTTCTCCCAGTAGGAACCAGCCAGCTAGAGGTGCCCACTCGCCTGGAAGTGCGTCTCCTGGACTCCGAGAAGGACAATGAAGTGGTGGCCTGCTTCCTGGCCGATACACGTGTCAAGAAGCCGACCACATCCTAAGCCACATAGTATAAGCCCAGTAGTGTTTAAGGCCAAACATTGTATCAATGTTTCCAATTATTAGCGCGTAAGCTGTTGGGCACTTAAGCCCGGCAAACACTATTAGCACTTATGAATAAATAATAAGGGGAAAATATTATAAATAATCGACATGAACATCTGAGTTAATTACCCCGGCACATTCGCACATGTGTGGCAGACTACGGCAGATTAGCCGGACCCGGCCCACCGCTCTCGAGGGCGCCATGAATCGGCTTAATTAAATGACGCAGAAAATTACGCAGCTCCGGTGGGATGGTTATTGTACCAAGAGGTGAGGGTAGAAGGTGCGTGCGGTTTTCCAGCTCCTTTCATAAAACTTTAAAGTTTAAACTCTTTCTCTTTTTGCCATTACCTCCAGTTCAACCTATGGCTTCCTTCCGGCCCTCAAAGCTAATTGGCTTTTCAACACTTTGGAGCTTCCGACTGCGCCGGCTGATGGGGTCTCATAAACAAGCACTGATGACTGCACATATCCGACGGTTAGCTAATTGAGTCGTTGACTATGTGGTGACATATAGCCATATAGCCAAAGTACTACAAATTGGATATTACAACGAAGCCGGGGAATCAAAACTTGACGGGTATAGTACCAAAAATAAAGGGTTTTATGGACTTTTGTTGTACAGTTTTGAAAATGATCTATAGTAAAAGTTTAATAAAACTATAATTCAATTCACCTATATCTTTTAAAAGAGAGCAAAAAAAGGGTGTGTTCAAAGTTTAAACTCTTTATGGATTCCAAACCACGAGCCTACTTTAAGTGCACATGACCTGCTACTTACTCGATTGAAACGATCTCATCACGATAACATTTAAGCAAATTACCAATATTTAATTAAATAGATTTTTACCTTCGTTTTTCCCCTCGTCATTTAACGTTTAGTCATGCTGTCTATGCCATAAATAATATTTAAGAGTCACAAAGGATTCACGGTTTATTTCAAAATGAAACTCTTTTGGTTCGGTTTGTTTTTGGTTCAAACTTGGACTCAAAAAGCCACTGTAACTGCTGACACCTATTGGTCTGAATATTCTTCTACAAATGCGGTAGTTGAGCACATATTTTTAATTCGAGTGTAATGAAAATTGTTTAACTTTCAGAGAGTAGATGTAAAAATACAAAACATACGAGTGTTTGGAGAGTCGCGTTTCATGAAAGTAAAATACTACATCCACAGTGATCGCACCCACTTCGATCTGAATGTTCGACTGATTCGAGAACTAAATAGTAACCATTTGATCATGAATGTCAAAGTACGAGTAAAACCGGAGAACAGCCAAGACTATGTGCGCTTTTTCGATATTAGACGAATCAACTTTTGCGATTTCCTCACCGAGTATAACACCAATCCGGTCTTAAAGTTCATGTTCAAGAAGACGATCAATCTCAGCGATGTGATCCTGTGTCCTGTTCGTGTTGGCAACTATTCGATGATGAACACCGATGTGGGCAGTAACATGTCTCCGGGTGGCGTCCAGAATGGAACCTACAAGTTCTTTGCCGAAATAGTCGAGGAAAGTGGGGAAATAGCCAAGCTGTTTGCTCTTCAAGTAACTTCGCAGATGTTTGTCATAGAAGGTGAAAGTAGTAACAGTGATGATTAATAAATAAACCTACTTGTACGAAATAGATTTATCAAATATATCAATCATAAAATGCAATAGAAAACTTTGTTTTTAAAAGCATGGGTTCGGATTTGAAATACTATATAAAACATGGGTTAATCTTTGACTCATCGCTGGAATTGACCAAAATTTATTAAATAACCCAAATTATGGTCCATTAGTGAATAGACCATGACCACCTGTGAGTAACACTCATATGATTCATTTCGCTATGAACTTCGTTCAGTTGGCATTGTGTTTTTCGCTTTTCCATTCCATATTTGGCGACGAGACCCGTTCTAAATCACTATGGGATGAGGAGATCCAGGTATATATCATTAAAAACGAAATACTTTAATCAAATATTTCCCTTTCGCAGAAACCCATTTACCACATTCAGCGCATCAATATTTTTGGCTATTCGCTTTACATGAAGGTCTCGGCCTATAAGAATGCCAATAACAGCGCCTTTAGTCTCAATGTGGTCCTTCAACAAGAGATGGGCAGTAATTTCCTGATTATGAACCTAAAACTTAGAGTCCGGCCAAGTGAAGGTACTACTTTCATAACCCTGCTCCAGTTAAGGAATCTGGATTTATGCGGTTTCTTCACCGAGTATTTCAGCAACAACATGATGAGGTATTTTCTGAAATCAGAAATGCAGTTTAGTGATGTCATAACGTGTCCTGTTCGAGTTGGTAACTACTCACTGAAAAACGTGGCAGCCAAGGATATTTATCCACCGAATGTGCAGAATGGAACTTATAAGTTCTTCGTGGAAGTTGTCGAGGGCACCGGAGAGATAGCAAAAGTTTTCGCTCTACAGGTGACCACAGAAATCCGCGTACCAAGTGGCTCGACATAATGTAAACTAACAAAGGATATGTCATTGTGTGCGACTTACAGAGAAAGAAAATATTCAAAAAGTTGGTAATAGTAATCTTAAAAATTTTTGTTTGAAAATAAAAACATAAATGGGAAAATGGGAATAAAATTTTAAGAGTTGGCTTACCAAAGATTTTAGACTATATGTTGTCTAATTTAAGATTATTTTCTTGTAGTGTATAAATGTTATATGTGGTACATTAACCACCATCTACTGCTTACATTGTAAGCGGATTGCTCTTGATTCTCCCTTAAATTTTCCGCATTTTCCTTTCCGAGTTTTTCCATTGTGCGTCATCCGCTCCGATTCCGAACAGTACACCCCCAACTCGAACATATTGAAAATCGTTTAAAGCGCCGACCAAGTGCATGGCCGATTATGGTGATTATCCTTAGACTATCGGGACTTTCGTGACCACCGCGGCAGCGTGTGTGTGTCCTTTAGGTTAGTGGTTTTCGTTATATTTCCCGCGGGATCATTGTGCTATTCCCCTGTCACATTGCGAAGCCATATGTGCTCCCTTGTTCACGTAATTTTATTGTAATTAATTGATAAACAATATGTTCAATGGCGTATCGATACTGAGTAAGGCTTCAAATAGTTTCCATCAAAATATTACATCATTTTTTAACCCATAAGCCACTAAACCCCTTCCGACCTCAAACCCCAAAGTAATACGATATTTTAATGGAGCTTCTTACACCTTCCCCCTAAGTCCATAATTAAAATCCGTAATGCGGTTTTCAGCACACATTATTTTCCATTTTTTATGGAATGGTTAAACGGGTTGTCTGACAGGGGTCACAGGTCACACCCTCTTATCGAAAATGCCTTTCTTTACGCACAATCGAATCATTTTGCGAATTCAATTTGGCAAAAATAATGCGAATACGCCAGTGGAGGAGATGGGCAAATGGAAATCAAAATTTCAATCTGAACTGCTGTGAGCTGAAATTCCATCAAGTAGGGAAAATGTCATGTGAAGTGTCAATGCCTGCCATCAAGTGTCGCACTTATGTGTGACCTTTGCAAACTCAATTTGTCGCCTTTTTATCTATAAACATTTTCTATTAGCCCCCGTTCTGAGGGGGAGGTTTTCAATTCCATTTCAGGTCCAATTCTCACACACTTTATTTAAAGAAATTGGTCTTGAGTTTGGAAATCCTTCAGTTAATCAGATTGGACAGGTCATCGAAAGTACTAGTGGGTGTTTATATAATCTATAGAATTTTGGTTTAAAAGATGCATCTTCGATATTGCAGGGAAAATAAAATCAATGGAAATTGAATTTAGCTTCAATAATGTCGTTGGAAAACCGAATTTTCTGCTGCCTTCAAGAGAAAATTTAAAATTCAACATGACTGGGCTCCTAGACTCGGCGTTTCTGGCAATTAAAAAGGCGTTGAGTTGAGCAATTAAACACACGCACCTGCCTTAAAATAATTCACTTAAATAACGCAATGTTGCGTAATTTAGCTTCACAGTTTTGTAATTAAAAGCATTTGCATATGAATCGCATCGAGCTTGGCCAATGCCTGGGGCATACTTCCATGCCACACTAATTAAGGACTGCCCTCGGAGCTGGGAACTAGGCAGTCTTCCCCCCAAAGGTCATCAACGTTTCTGGCAAGGCGACTCAAATCCTTGGGTCTGATTGCAGCTGTGGTTTGTCAACAGCGTTTTGTCCTTTGCGTGGCTTTCAGGAAGTGTTTAATGTCCTGGCTGAATGCAATTCAATCCGAAGGAATAGTACAAAAAATTAATAAGGGGTGTGTGGTTCTTAGGGAATATTTTGTAACCTTTATATAATTGACCTAGAATGTTCTTAAACTATTGATATCACAAATTCAATTAGATTTGAATCAAAAACCAAAACCCTAGTTCTTAAAGATAAAATCCATCTTTATCTGCCAATGAAGCATACAACACCGATATTATCTGCCTAATATCCTGCGGTTTCAAGGCCTTATGATCGCAAATCCAAACAAATTGTAAATCTGTTCCAAAAATGAACCAAATCATATGAGCCTAATTAAGAGCCCATTACCCAACCCTCGCTGTGTAAACAGACACCGCAGACCGCAAGTCAGAAAACCGCCGCAGCAACCCACCCCGTAGTGTATCTGCCACAAGGGGATGGGGTGTGGCATTCAACGTGTTGCACGGGGGTGTCCTCCGATTTGTTACGTGTGTAATTCGACACTCGACAACAACCTGGGCAATTAGCCCGCGAAATCTCCATGCAAATGAGTGGAGCGTTTTCTTAACGCTCTCGTTAAGAAAATATCCTTGGACGAGTGTCAGGATGTCAGGAGCAGGCACAAAGGCTGCTGCTATGCTGCTATGCTAATGAGCCCCCAACAAGGTGATAATTAGCAGAGGGCCGAGGAAAGCCACAAAGTGAAACTTGTTGACCTCGTTGATACAAAAGATCTTAGCCAGTTTAAAAACTTAAGAAGCTGTATACAATTTTTTTCATATTTTTCATGGCTGTTGCGGGCAAGCAAAGTCTCCTTTATTCAGCTCTGCGCCGAAGTATGAAACTTCATAATTAAATTCCAGTTTATTAGCAGCAATTGTTTTTGCTTTTGCCGGCTGCTGGAAATCCTGCTGCTCTCGGCGTCGCGACGCAACAATTTAATTTAGTTTATGTAGACCGTTGCTCTAATTAATTGCATTCAACTGCAATTTATCTCAGGGATGCTCGAAAACTGTGAGTTATTAAAGAAGAAAAAATGGAAGAACGATGGAAAATAATTTTTAATATTATGTTATTAGCTTTAATAAAAAAATCATATCTTAAAATGCGTCCAAAAACTTACAAAAATCACTATGGACGGCAGTCCACGAGGTGATGAACTGGATGCGTTAGTTCATAGGAATATTTATAAAACTTTTACAAAGAGGTTTCAACAAAAATTCCGGCATAATCACAAAAAGTTTATAACCAAAACAAAAAAATCGGTAAACAAAAGAAGTTATATCTACTAATTATTTATATCTACTAAAAAATGAATCATTTATTTATAATTATTTACATCCTGCTTACGACAAAAAAGTATATATCCAAAATAATTTTTATAAAATTATAAGCTTCAATAAAAATATTCCAAAAAGTGCGTTTAAGGCCCTGAATTTGCAGCAAAAACATCCTTAATTTCCTTTTTGGCCAAAAGTTGACGCCATTTTGGACAACGTACTTTTGAATTCAGAGGGGAGAAACATTAAATTTTCAAAACCACAAAAAGAATCCTTTGGTTCTTAAAATGTCTGAACAACACTGACCGCTGGAGGTGAAATCGAGAGAGGGGGGAGTTCAAATCGAGTGGGAAGGGAATCCACAAAATATAAAGGTAACACGGGTCTGGCAACAAAAGGAGCACTCACCTGCCAACGCCCTCGCCCTCGTCCCAATCCCCTCCCACTCGAAAACAACATGGGGGGCGGTGGGCGAAACTCCAACGCAGTGCAATGAAATTCTTTATCTACAATTCAATGACATTCCATTCCGGACCAGGGACCACGGACTACAAATATTACGGGCGGGGCGTGGCAATGTTGGGGATTTTCTGGCCACTGCCAATGAGCGTATCATGGCAGAGCAACAGATGCCAGCAGCTGAGCAGCGCCCCCTGGTGGGTCAGTCGGATTGCTCCGTATGGGGCGTGGCAGCGCATGCGCCTTTGGTCTGCGTGGGTGTACGGGGGGTGGGATTGTCGAGCTATTCCGGCCACCGCGGGCGAATCGCAGAGCAGCCCCTTCAGGATTCCGGCGCAAGGTGCGAGCGAGAGCCGTAGATTTCGGATCAAAGGAGCGGCCGACCCAGTGGGTGGTGATGGTGGTAGCTGCTTGGTGGGTGGTGGGTGGCGGTGGCTTTCATTGGCTTCGCATTCAAACCCAATTTCATGAGGCAGCATTGCGACAGGTGACCGTCCGGACTCAGGAGTTCAGTTCCCTTCGATGCCTGCCACGGGTCAGTTGCGTGCCACGGAAAAACCTTAAGTTCTAAGGAAAAGTCACTCTGATTGAGGCTCGATACGCGACGTAAAGATATATTTGAAAATGATGCGCCGGGACATTGCCAATACTGCTTGAAAGGTTATATTAATAGTGAAGTGATTTAGAGAATTGGAAATTTAGAGATATATAAAATCTCAAGTTATAACAATAGTTAATGAAAGATTAAGAACCTCAAATACATCCTTTAAATTATAGTCAAAAGTGAAGTATTTAAAAGTGGCAGTTTTAATAAATTGGGAAATTAAAGGAAAAGAGTTTGGGAAAAAAATCTGAAAACAAAGAACACTTTTATTGAAAAAATAATAAGGTATATATTTCAAGTGTGTTTAAACCAAAAGACACTATTAAATTTTCAGAGTGAACCATAAAAAAAGTAATATTTTATTTGAAAATACTTGAAAACTTAAAACTTGAAAACTTGAAAATTTAATATTCTTTTAAACGAGAAGTTTTTTTACAAAACGGATGTATAAAGCTGTGATCTTAAAACCTTGGAACCAAATGTCTTTAAAACCTTTTAGCTTAATACCTTACGTAAAATAGAAATATAGAAAAGATCAAATATCCATACAAAGATCCTTTTTCATCTAAACAGTCCTGATTTTGTAAGCGAATCCTGATTTTAAGAAGGGTATTTGGTGAAGGGAACATCTCCGACTATATAAAACACATCAGGATCAGGATCAGTTAGTGATCGATATACGCATGTCCGTGTGTATATTTCTAGACAGGTCTTTCACATTTGAAGCTATTGACTTCAAACTCGGAACTGCTATAACTTTTTTATTTTAGAAGATTGATTATGACTTTCTAAAATATATTATGTTACTAGATGGAAAAACTATTGCGATTTGCAATATTTTGCGATTTTTGACTAATCTTAACTGCAAAAGTATATCATCTTCGGCTTAGCCTGAAGTCAGCTATCCTTTCTTATTGCATATGTTTATGTTAACAAATTTATTTTTCATTAACAAACTTAATTATAATCAAATATTTTAAAACCCAACCAAATTCCAACCCTAATCAACAGCCACTGAAATAACCACGAACAGAACTTGGCCAAATGAAAACTCAAGACACTAACTTCAACCAGTACTAAAAAAGTCAAGTGGGAGTTGCTTATAATGATGAACATGAATCCGATGTCGCTGCCACACCCGCAACCGCATCCACATCCTCATCCGCCGCATCACCACAACCTACCGCACTCTCACCCCCCGCCCCTGTTGCAAGGACTCCCGCCCCAAGCTGGCGCCCATTACTTGGAGTGTCAGGCATTACCGGCAATCAACGAGACATTTCCGCAATTTAGCCAGCACCGTCCGGCGATTTCGCTCCTTTCGCCGCTGGATCTCTCGCTCCGGGCAGCGGCCAGTATAGTGCCAATTACCCCACCCTCCACGCCCTCGCCGCCCCGCAAGCGCCAGAGATTGATGTCCGAGGAGAATTACCTGTGGCGACCGCACATGTCCAACACCCCGGCTCCCGGGAATCCGGGAAATTCTTCAAATGTCGCCTCAACGGCAACAGTTTCCCAGGCGATTCAGCCTTCGGGTTACTTCCTACAGCAGCAGCAGCAGCCACATCAGCAACAGCAACAACAAAATCTTCCGCCGTATGGTCTCCGGACTTTCGATGCGGCTGCCTTTCAGAAAAGTCATTTTCACGAAACGAAAAATAACTTTGAGCAAATTCCGGCAAGTCAATCGAGCGCACCACCACCGCTGCCGCCACGACCCACACCAGTGGCCACCAGTTCCTCGCCCATCTACGTGGACGACGAGACAATCGTGTTGACCGAGGACGAGGATGAAACAGTTGTCAGTTCCCATGACTACAATGATTACGCCACGGACACCGAGGAAGTCAACGAGGGCGACGATGATGAACCGACCCAGGATGACGAGGAGGAGGAGGTCTTTGTGGATGTCCTGGGCAGTGACGATGATGAAGACGATAATGACGATGCGGCAAGATTGCAGTCGGGTCAGGGAGCCAAGGCTCTGAAGCGCAATGAGTTGCTGTACGAGGATGAGGAGCTACACAACCGGGCCGTCGATGGCCTGGCCAGGCTTTTCGAGCGGGATTTTCAGCAACCGAAAGCATTACCAGAAGTTGAGGTGACCGACGAGGAAGCCGCGGAGAAAACTTACACGGATTTGAGCGGGGTGGCCAGGACAGAAAAGAGGAATTCCCCACCCCTGCCACTACTGGCTCCACCACCACTCCCTCCTCTTCCTCCCCCTGCCACATTCTCCGCCTCAAGACACCACAAACATGAACGGAAGCGCTCCAAGCTAAGGAAACATACGGCAATCGACGAGGAGACCATCAGTCCCGTATCCGGAACAATTATCCGGAAGCTTCGCGACGACGAAGAGCTGGTGGTGCGCAAAGGCGACATTGATCCGGCTTTCAACGTGGTGGAAATCACCGAGGAGGCCAAGGCCATCCTGGCCAGCATCGATAATAAGATTGGCGACTACCTGTGTCAGCTTTGTCGCACTGTCTACGACGACGCCTTCATGCTGGCCCAGCATCGGTGTCCCCGTATAGTCCACATCGAGTACAAGTGCTCCGAGTGCGAAAAGGTGGGTGTAGGTCGCTTTTTCTTCATTGATTAGTTTATAAAAGTATCCTCTTTAGGTCTTTAATTGTCCTGCCAATCTGGCCTCACATCGAAGGTGGCATAAGCCCAAGGCAGATGCATCTCCCAGTTCCTCTGGCAATTCTGGCAAGAGACGTCATGTGGAGACCGGGGATGGGCCTCACGACTCGGGAAGAGGCGGCGAAGATAGTACCGATGGCGTATATCCTTGTCATGTATGTGGCAAGTCCTTCCGACGGTGAGTCCTGAAAAATAGAATATTATTTAACACATTGGGAGTTGGGAGTAGATATGAGGAAGAAATATAATAAAATTTCTTAATTCTTACTAAACTATTTTCTAAAATTTAATCCTACAGCCAAGCTTATCTGAAGAAACACCAGGCCTCCCATCAAATGCTGGAAAATCTCAAGAACTTGGACTTCTTCAAGGCCCAACAGCAACATCATCATCAGCACCAACAGCAGCAGTTAACTCTCAACAGCCATCAGCTGCCAGATCCCGGCCAAGTGACAGCTACTTCCTCGGCCACGCCGTACGATGGGATGCCACGTCCACCCCATGGAATGCCCATTTATCCACCGGCTGCAGCCAAGAACTATGCGATGAGTGGGCAACGCTTTCCCGGATTTCCCTTCCAGCCCTTCGACCAACGCCGCTTCTATTCCTTGAGTGAATTCTACCTATCCCAGCATCTGGAACGCTCCTCGGCCTTCCAGTATGTCCAGGCGAATCACCTGCGGCAACTCTCGAACGTGGCCCAAACGCTGCTGCCTCCGATGTCGGTTAAATGACCCAACCCCAATGCGAGTGTCCTGCGTCCAGTCCCCAGGATAGCAGCCACTGCAACGGCAACGGTAACATCGGCCCGGCAGGCTGCCCAGGTGGAAAATAATGCCAGTGTGGTGGCGTCCGGCGGGCATGCCTTCAACTGGGTGGCACCAAACGGAGGTGCTACGGCGGCAACAGAGACGACTGGTTCCGAAGCCGGCGGCAATGTTATTATGTGACTTACAAACCATTAGAAGCATTGAATAAACGATCTCTAGTTAAAGTTTAATACTTCAATTAAAAAATTAAGAACAAGGCACTTATTGGGGTTGGAGTTTTTGTATTGGGGAGTTTTTAAAAAGTACTTTTGGGGATGAAGAAGATTCATCTGAGGAACTAATTAACCATCCTGGGTTCTGCTTAGAACATAAGCCATAGAATGCGCCAAAAAGGTCTCTTTTTGAACTCCGTAAAATAGAGAAGATTTAGGTCCTGTAATATCGATTTATTAATTAAATATCTAAATAATAATTTTTAATACATACCCTGGGCAAAAATCAAACTCTCCGTTGGCATTTGATGAAGCCTTCTTTGGATTTCTTTTTCATCTTCTCCGAAGAAATCTGGCAAATGGCTGATTGTCTCCGTTTCCTCGCTGACATCCAGAGTAGGTTTAGGATAGATGGCATTGGTCATAAGGACTAAAGTAAGTGTATCCTCCTCTGGTCGAAGATTGCTCAAAGTCTCATTTAGAAGTTTAAGTTGGTGTCGCTTATCCATCCCAGATTTAACAAACATTTCCACAAGAAGAAAGTATTTTTGCTCTTTTCTTTTTAGAACTTTCAAAGATTTTTCCACCATTAAACCAAGACTGGGAGCCTTTAAATTTGCACTCAAATCGCCATTCGCGAATACACCCATTAAGTAGTCGAAAATAGTGGCATTCAAGGACTCTAGTTCATCGGTTCTCTGAACTACTTCGAATTTGATAGGTTTGATTTTACTATGCCTGAGTTTCTGGGATCTCCACTCCTTCAGAAGGTTGCGGCCGTCACTTGACTCGCAGAGCAATTCGTCCACCGGATCCCATTTAGTTTTCGGCACAAGACTATTCAGCATTTGCCGACCACCTCCCATGATCACATTCAGGGACTTTCCGGTTTCCCCAGAAATCAATTGGCGGGCAATGTCCTGACATCCCATCTGAATCGATCCCATTGGCATCCTCTCATCGCACTCATATTTGCTGTTTCCGTAGAGGGCAGCTCCTGTTGCGCCTGTAATCCTTTGGTTGGTCACAAAGCCCGTTCGCAATCCAGCCAGCTGTGCCTGACGCAGAACGCTCAGAATGTTATCAGTCTGATTATCGGCTATCCAACAATCCGACTCCCTTTCAAGTGACACATCCAGAGGTATTCCCGTCCAGAAAGCTCGCGAAACGCTTCCCACCTGGCAGGGTGACTGCTGACTGCAGCTATTTTTCAATCGAGCCACATGGGAGAATGTGTCCCAAACAAAGTTGGTATTGCCCTGGCTATTGCCACTAATTACTGGGAATCTATTAGCCGCCAAATCGCCACCATCTACGCCCTGGACCATAAATATCTGAACGTTTTTTGGGAACAGCGGACCCCTTGGCTTTCGCAGGGCTTCGTTTAGCTCGGCAATGCCCTTGTCGTACCAGACTTTCTGCACAGCGGATACCCTGTCCTTCCAGTAATCCACATCCGCCACATTGGCCACCTCGTTCTCCACCTCGTAGCGCGTAGTGAGGCCAATGCAGAGTAATGTCACTAAGACTGTTACCAAAATGGTTCCGGCCACAATGAAGACCTGCGTTGACTTCAGCCTTACGGCTCGACAGATTTCTTTAGTGCGATGTGGCGTTGGCATCTCAGAGGTTTGGATAAAACTGACGGTTGATTTTTCTATTCCATTTAATCATAAACAACATTATCTGTCTATCTGTTCGGGGGAGAGAGATAAGATTCTTTTCTTAAGGGTTTTATGGAGCCCCAATCGCTGGCGATTATCAACTTCGTTTTTAGTGTAGCAATTAACAGACGTCATGAATGAATAATGCACTAATTGGCATGCAAACTAACGTATAAAAACACTGAGAGAAACAAGGGTAACAATCTAATAAATGGTTATAACCTAAGAAAAGTAGTATCTTAGTATTATCTAGGTAACTGGTTAGTTGTATCTTAAGTTTTTTTAAGAGTTTATATATCCGTAATCCAAATAATTTCTTTCTGTTTATGGAATTTCAAATTCCGAGTTCAATCCATGTTTTTAGGGTCAACAACATCTATGTTTTCGGTCATTAACTATTTCTCCTACATGCAGGGACATTTCAGCATATATATTTACATTTTAAATGTTAGGGAATTGATTTGTGTGTCGACAGGATGGGCGGCGGCTTTTGGCCCTCGAGTAGAATTATAATTATCATTTCAAACTTCCACCCCGCATTTGGCATTTGGCAAACTATTTTGCTTATGAATTTTCGCTCAATTAAATTGGCACGCAGGCCGGCAAATCGACGGCGGTTTGTTCATTTTGCCAGTTATGCGAATGCGAAATTGTTTGCCTCAATTACCTGCCATTAACCTGCATTTAACCACCTCCTTCCAAGGGTCGGTACCTGTGACCCCGTCCATCATTTCGTCGCTTTGAAGTCGCTTTGCATTGACATGTGGTCAGTTTTCCCCCCTCATTGAAACTGTCACAATTTCAATTTGCATTGAATCCAACTCAACTGCCACTGGCACTCGTTTGGCTATCACTTTGATTTCATGTCGACTCGATTATCTGCTTAGACTTCGATATATTTGTTTAACCACCAGACTTGGCAGGTTATGAAATACTAGCGGAAGTGACCACCTCGCCAATTTCAATGGCAATTTTTCAATCATGCTGGGACTTTCTTTACCATGCAATAGCCCACGCTGCGTATGCGTAATATTTAAAGAGGGGGAGGTTGTTATCCTTGACATATTTGTTTTTCCGCCAGACCTGTCAGGCAAAGCAAGTACTTGCGGAAGTGTCCAGTTGTCCATTTCAAGGGTAATTTTTCCGTCATTTTGTACTCCAGCATAACACACACGGCGTATGCGTAATATTTATGTAGGGTATGGGTTCATTTTTAATCCTGTCACCCATTGAACTAACTAACTCTGTAGGTTTAAAATATATTATTATCATGTTAAATTCATTTATCTATCTTCATAAGCCAAGTCGAATATTTATTTCATCAAAAAAGCTTTTTTTTCATCCCTCGTATTTAGGGGTTCGTTTATTGAATAACAGTGAAGGCTGTTGAGCTTTTGACTACGCCCCCTATTGGCAAGAGCTTGAATCCATCTTAAGGTCTTCGCAAAACACGTAGCTTATCATTTTTTAATATTAAAGGTTTATTTTACTAAAAATTTTTAAATTAATTTGCTCTTAATGCATATTGATTCAGAATCACTATACAAATCGTTTAAGGTACCCCTCCCACGAATCGGAATATTATTAACAAAGATATAGACTTCGCTCTAGCGCATATTGGTGATCCATACATTTTCAACAACTTGAAGGGAATCTCCTCGAAATTTAAAAAAAAATATAACAAATATTTCGTTTTTAGATTTTGATGCAGATTCATGGAGAATCCTTCCACAAATCGTTTAAGGTATTCCGCTCAAGAATCGGAGTATTGACAAAGATATAGACTTTGCTCATATTGGCTCATGTTGGGGATTGACACATTTTCAACATTTTTAAGGGGATCCCCTAGAAATTTGAAAAATATCGAAAAAATATTTTATTTTTAAATTTTTATGCAGGTTGATAGAGAATCCTTCCACAAATCGTTTAAGGTACTTTTCATAAGAATCGGAGGATTATTGGCAAAGATATAGACTTCGCTGTGGCTCATATTGGGGATCCATACATTTTCAACATTTTGAAGGGCATCCCCTAGAAAATTGACAAAAAATCGAAAAAATATTTCGTTTCTAGATTTTCATGCAGATTGATAGAGAATCCTTCCACAAATCGTTTAAGGTACTCCCCTTAAGAATCGGATGATAATGGCAAAGATATAGACTTTGCTGTGGCTCATATTAAGGATTCATGCATTTTCAACATTTTGAAGGGCACCCCCTAGAAAATTGACAAAAAATCGAAAAAATATTTCGTTTCTAGGTTTTGATGCAGATTGGTAGGAAATCCTTCCACAAATCGTTTAAGGTACTCCCCTTAAGAATCGGATGATTATTGGCAAAGATATAGACTTTGCTGTGGCTCATATTGGGGATCCATACATTTTCAACATTTTGAAGGGGATCCCCTAGAAATTTGACAAAAAATCGAAAATATATTTCGATTTTGATGCAGATCGATAGAGAATCCTTCCACAAATCCTTCCACAAACATATAGACTTCGCTGTGGCTCATATAAAGGATCTTTACATTTTCAACATTTGAATTATTTCTAGATATTGATTCCTAAAAATTATTTAGTGCATTCCGCATACATCATACATGACAGCAGGTCGAAATAACGATGTGATACTACATGACAACAACTACCCTTAGATTATGGAAAAATCCATAAAATATTCAGCATCTGGTAGAATCTGGCGCATCTAGGGTCAAGTGACTGGCAGGATTAGAGCATGGCTGCATAAAGAATTCATATACTGTGCAAATAGAATTTCGCATGCATATGACAAGCGCCACAGGATACAATTAGCGTCGAGTGGACGTCAAGTAACGGCCGCCATTGGGCTACGGAGATTGGATAGGGTGGCGGGGCGGCCGGAAACCGAGTACATGGCCCAGAATAGTGGCTTTGACTGACAACAACAGCAACAGCAGCGAAAAGCCAGGCGTGACGCATATGGGTCACTTGGCCTGGCCAACGTCAATGCCTTTGCAGGATGCTAAGCCAACTGCTTTTCCTGCTGCTGCAATGGGGCGACGCCGACGCCAACACCGACGGCAACGCCCACACCCTGTCCACGCCCAAAAATGGGAGGCACCTCCATGGAACATAAATGCAAAAAGGGAAAGAGAGAAAGCAATAGCGTGGGAGGGGGACGGCGAGGCGGAGTGAGAGACACAGTCGTGACCTTGCCCCTTAAATAGCATTTTTCATCATCGGATGGTGCTTGCATTCCAATGGCGCCTGCTTAAAACATTTTCCGTGCTTTCCGGTCTCCATATGGACAGGAATGAGGAATTTTCGTGACACATCCTTATTGAAAAATCCCAAGCAATCCTAAGCACTAATTACGAAAATATTTCGCGTAACTAAGCAATTAAAAAAAATCGAATTAAAATGCAACGCAATATTTTACATCCAATTTTAATTTTTATATTTTTTAAACAGAGGCACAAAATCAAGGGGGTGTTGAAAATTGTCTACAAATTTAATTGAGTAACACCAAAAAAAAACCCCATAAAATGTTTTGCATTATTTAAAATATATTGTGAAATTAAATTAAATCCCTTGTAAGGCGCTTCACTGGCAATAATTTGGTTTAATAGCTAACCAATAATATTACTCAGCTTTGTTGTTGCCAATAATTTCCGCATCTGCTTTGAGTATATTGGAAAATTTATAAACAAAAGATTGCATTTTTGTATTTCATCGGACTTTCTATACTCTATAGATTTTATAAAACTATTTCTAAGATAGACAAGTTCCAACGATGAATAATATTTATACCCTAAGTTTAGTAATAAATGCAATACTGGTTACCCTGTTCCATAATCCCCTTTTCTAAAAGTCGCTGGGAATCTGCCGCATTATGATAAGACATTCCAGTTAACCCACACGGATTCTAATATCTTCTATAATTGGTAATTCTCTGTATTTTACGCTTGATTGCTTGGCATTCTCATTGCCGTTTGACAGCAATTTATATAATACAAATCGGGGTCATTGGGGGGATGGGAGCTGTGTCAATAGTGCTCTTCTGGCCCCCTCGTGGGTGCAATAAATGATGCAGTGGGATGGAAAATTATGCATTAAAATCTTCGAGACTGCCATTTCAGGGTCGCCTTTTAGAAAAACGTAAGGTTGGGAAGTCATTCGATTAGATAAGATAATTAGTAAAGTTACCAGATAAGATATATGAGACGTATTATAGAGCTTACAAAAAAATAGATTAAATGTAATAAAAAAAATTACAACAATAATGTTTGCCAAACACTGTAGAATGGCCAACAAGCGATAGGGGCAAGAACAAAGGGCTAGTAGAAAACTGGAACGGAAGACAGATAAGCGGAGAAGTTGCAATTTATTGATTGTGTATATACCGAAATGCGCTTGTGTGTGTGTGAGTTTGTGTATCTGTGTTTCGTGTGTATCTGTATCTCTGGCTGTACTGAAAATATAGTTGACAACTGAGAGCCAAACAAGTATATAGTACCCTGGCCTTGAACGTGAATTGCATTTGCGCGCAAAATACAAAAAAAAAAAAAAACGGAAAGCAAAAACGAAATACTAAGTGGAAAGAGAGGCCAAGAAAGGGATGGCGAGTGTGCAAACGAAAAGTTTGAACGCGCACAAGCGCAAACCAGGAGCGCTGCAACTGCATTTCCCCTACCCTTTCACTCTCTTTTGCACAGAGTGCCTTTCGTAGCTCTCTCTCAGTGACGCACACCCTGTGCCCCGAACTAAAATTCCAAGGCATTCTCAAGGTTACTGCATTCTAGAGGTGGGCATGAACCCTATTTTACCCACTGGTTTCTGAAAAGAAGTAACATTTAAAAGAAATTTTAAGAAATTAAATACTATATAGTATGAGCTTTTTAAAGATAGTATAATAGAGGGCTTGATAATGTCTCAAATTTTCTAGAATCCCATCTCTGCTGCATACACAAGCACATAGCTTGGACTCTCTTCAGCAATCTCTCTCTCTCGTTCACCCACTCGGTTCTAAAAGATATGGAAAACTACCAAAAAATAATTGAATTTTCAAATGCAATTTCAGATTCTTCGGATTAAACAGCCACCTGACAAAACAGAGCGTACATCTATATTTTCATTTAGTCACTACTTATGATCGCGTGCCTCTTGCCAACCTTTTGCAAAAGTTCTAGGTATTCATTATCGCCGAGATACAAATTTCACCCTTTCTGCTGTTCACCTACCCGCCCACATCTATCTCTCTTTATAATTTTAGCAAGCTGATGCCTTGCAAAAACAGTTTCCACCAGCCTATCTGTATGGGTTTGCACGGGAGTGGGTGTGTGTCGGTGTTAATTGGTTTTAAAAATAATAACATTTTACATGCTTGAGATGGATTTTGATTAATTGACTTTGAAATTTACAAAACCGAGGAAATGCTTTTGCCATTTTCGATGTTTTACATTACAAACATAATCCGTTTTTAATCTAAAATCTCAGCGATCAATGCAACACTATAGTCTGATAGAATATTACTTATACGCCTAGTTGCCATATATGTAAGTTCCTAAACCTCTATTTATTCTTTCCCTCTAGCAGGACATAAGGAAACTGCATGTTGACATTCACGGAAAGGATATAAAGGGTCAACATATGCTGAAATACAGTTGCCACCCTGAGCCAATCTATTCAAATGTCAAAGTTGAATGCACATTATGAAAGTCAGGGCACAGGAAAAAATTATATTTCACGCTGACAAAAAATATTTAATATTTATCTAATTAATATTAATTAAATACTTTTTTATAGTGTTATTTTGAATTTAGAAAATAAAACTTATATGTAGCAACGATTTTTTCAAGGTCAGCATTGCATATAGTTTTATTTCTGTGTGGAAGTGGCAAATGAAATCGAAATCGAAATAGGAATAGGAATAGGAATGTGTATGTAAATCATTTGGCACTTTGCACAGTCTAGTGCAACAACCAACATATGCTCGGCTATAGCTTTGGCATTACATAAAGCACACCCTCGCTTTCGTCAACCCCTCAACCCACCTTGTAGAAACATGAAAGCGAAATTTCTAGCATATATTTTGAAACAACGCCGACTGAGACCACACGTCGCATGTGGAAGTGATGATTCATTCGGTTCGGGCAGCCAATGCGCTGGCACAGAACCATTTCGACACCCTCACAGATGCACTTTTCAATCGGCAGAGCCAGAGAGAAAAGCTCAGACCAGAAAAGCTGTCCGTTCGGCTCTCTCTCTTACACTCGTTCCACTCACACGCACACACACGTACACGTCGAACGAATCCTTGTAGCATGTATTTCAAGTTCACTGTCAAGGTCACCTACTCTTGTCATGCGCTGCAAACGCAACGTGAGCTGGCCCAGCTAAGGGTAAGGGCAATTGTTGCTGCAACAGCAGCAGCCGCATCAGCTACCTACACAGTGCTGGGCAAAAGTAAGTGTGCCCTCTGCATCCCCCCACTGACAGCCTCTGGCAGTAGCGCTTGCTGCTCTCAGTTTTATTCCCCAAAGTATACACATTTTATAATAGATGCACTATAAGCTTAGTCCGACAGCAAGAACTATACACAAATATACACCGAAAAGCTGGTTATGGCTTCGTAGTTACTTTCTGAGGTTAGCTATGGATATTTTTAGACACAATTGACATTTTTGGGTAACTTTGCATGACATACGTGACGTATACTTGATATTATTAAGTTTAAAAGAAATTATTATATAAAGACTACGAAAATTCGATAATAAAATTTTAAATGAGTATAATAAAAAATAAGGAATACGGGTCGTATACTTAATATTTCTCTTGAGTTGGTTTTTATTAAAATAAATATTTTTAACGACTTTAAAACATTGTAGTGCCTTTCTATTAAAGCCATTTCTTTATTTAATTATTAAGTCGACCTCTGAAAATTGCAAGCTCTAACGAAATCCAATCACGAGCTATAATAAAGTTTTTCCCATTTCCCCACACTGCTCGACGAGACGACGAGGCACGTTCCCGCGCAGGCCAACTAGAGTGGTGGCATACAGCTACAGCTCACTGTGCAAAAGTGCAAGCCCCGAGTGTGTGTATCTTTGTGGTCGTGTATCCGAGAGATACCCTTTATATCGCTGCGCATGACATAAGAAAACGGCGCACGAAGTTGAAGCAGCGGCAGATTGGTAAATTATGAAAGTGCCAGCTCGACATGCAATAACATCTGTTGCATATACCCGAGTCCGGGATATATGCATTTTATAAATATATATATGTATCTAACTATATATTTACCCGAAAATGTATGTATATAGGTAATAACTGTATCTGACGATTCATCCGTAGATTCCGTGTAAAGTGCCGAGGTATGCAGGCGTTGCAGTCAAGGCATTTAATTTAATTAAACAATTAAACAAACATGGCGGACGCCATTTGTTCTCTCCCATACAACAGAAGACACTCACAAGTACTCACGTATGCCAATTTTTCCTCTCGCCCCCAAACAAATTCAATTAAGAAATTAAAATCGAAACGAGGCGAGAGACCGAGTCAGAGAGTATCCCTGCCCCCCTTATAACTAGAAAGAGATGGCCTCTTTTTGGGGGTCTGCCTTAATCCGTGGAAAATTGCAGCACACGCACATTTTTCAATCGAAATCGTATGACAATGACATGTATGTATGTTAGCCATCCACCACAGGCCCCGGATATAGGAAGTAATAGCTGTAATATACCTAGGTGGGCCAGTAAGTCAAGCAATGTTTGTTTTTTTTCAGCCCTGTGTGCTGTTTGTTGTTACTAGCATTTTGTGTTGCAAGCGGCAGTTAGTCAATAAATGCGCTAATTATATACAATTCGCTACCCAGGCCCAGGCCCAGGCCCAGAACACGAACCGAAAAGCTTAGACCCAGAGACCCACCAGATACACAGCGCACTAAGTGCACATACAGTGAAGACTCCCTTAGAGGGATATGTACTGAATCAAAGACAGATAGGAAAAGTTAAGCTAAGATCTACAAGATTGAAATTTAATATTTAATTTAACAAATATTTTAAGATATCCTTTAGCCAGTCTTCACTGTTTCGGGCAGAAATGCACAACTTAAACTGCAAGTAAAGGGAACGAGAAAGAGATATAAAGAAAGGGAGGGATAGAGAAAAAAGAAACAGCAAATGGGGATCGCATTAAGATGTATTGGTGCTAGTTACTGGGTGAGAGCTACTTGCTCTCTTTCTATCACCTACTTCACTCTCTCCTTGCTTCATTACATAACATCCTTGAACTTGAGCCGAGCTCTTCCCACTCCTTTTTTTTGAAAATCTGCTGGCTCCTTTCAACGCACACACATCAGACCAGAACAGAACAGGACCCTGTCTTCACTCTCTATATTCTACGGCTCCCCCAGGCCCACCCCTTTCTCCCGCCGCACTTGCTCGTTTCTTCTGCTCGGAAGCTTTCGGCTTTTCAGCAGCGAAACCGACAAACGGCGGCTCTGCCATTTTCTGCTGGGCTGCGCGATGGCATTGAAAGTGCGACAGGCGACCTGCCAACAACGCTCCATTCCCAGCCACCAGTTCTCCAACAAAAATCCCCAATCGAAGCCCCAAGAATCAAAACCCAACTACCGCTAACAAATTAAAAATAAATGTCAGAAACTACTCAATTATTTGTTCAAAATGAAGCACGCAAATGACATCAACCTGGAAGTGGAATTTTGTGAAAATCAACATACACCAAACAAAACCAATAACAATGGCAAATAATTGCAAATTAATTGTGTTCAACCATTGCGAAAAATAATTCTACGAGAAGTGCTTGTCAAATTAAAAAACAAAAACCTCAAAAAAATAGACGTTGATTAAAAATGTAAATTATAGATCAGAAAAAGCAATTCAAATGTAAAATCAACGTCATTTTATGTGCATTCTTTTGTGATTTCAAAATTTACAGAACGTGATTGCAAGGGATTTCAAAATAAGGCAATTATTTTTCAAAAGTGCTAGAATACTTACCAAAAAATAAACAGCTTACAAAAATAAAAGTGAAAATAATAATGGAAAATAATTCAACCACATTATGAATTCTAGAGGATTGGAAAGGAAAGTCTAAGTAGCTGGATTTTAAAGATAAGGTAATAAAATACATATTTACATTTATTTGGAAAGAGGATTTCAAGCCTCATAAGAAAAATGACTTTAGCACAGCTGTAAAAGCTCGCAAAAGCTCCTTTTGGGGGACAGGATCAAGGGGTAGGGATCCCCCAGCCCTTAAAATTGTTTTTTCGCGGTTTGTTTTGTCACAGCCTAGAAAAAAACGTCGCAAAATAAACAGGAATCCGCAAAAAGCAAAAGTGAGTTCCCATCCCATCCCATCCAAATAGCAAACACACACAAACACCCGTAGATAAAAGTGCGCAGCTAGAGATACAGATACAAATGAATTGCAGGGATGTGAAGGGAGCGGGGGAATAATGAATGAAAGAATGGTAGAGGAAGCAACAAAAAAGAGCGAGAGAGCACCGAAGAAGAAAAGGAGACGGACGATAATTTTGAAGGCCATCGGGGAGAGCGTCACATGTGGCTGTTGCGAGAGGTGTGTGGGTGTGGGGCAGTAGGGCAACCAACACAACAACAAAATGCCAAGAAGAGAGAAACTGGAAGAATACCCAAAAAGCAGACACACAAGAAACAGGAACAGGAAGAATCGACAAAACTTGATGAAGCATTCGGAGAGCCATATAGCGAGGGTGACAGAGAGAGCAGTAGCTCTTTCGATAGAAGATAGAAATTCTGCTGGCGTCAACGCTAACAGCGCAGCAGCTGCGCTGCGACAGAGCCAGAACTTTCCATGCTGACGAAAAATCAACGGCATTGAACAGCGGCACCTTCAACCGATCACATTCGTCTTTTTCCCGAGCTAATAAAAAATAATAATAAATACTAATAATACTGAAAATGAAGCCAAGTCGCGTTCGCGTGGGTTTAAGAGCAAAGCTTAAGGACATCCTGTGACGCCTTCCGCTGACAAGCAACCCCCCGAAAAAAGCTGAAAAAAAGTGCATAACAAAAAGAAAATGTGAAACAAAACGAGAAGAAATGTGGCCGAAAGCAGCAGAATGTGAGTAAACTAAATTGCGTCGTAGTTAACATTTTTCGACGGCGTCATCAAAGGCAAGCCCTCCCGCTACCCACACCACCCTTTTTCCGAAACCTTTGTGATTGCGGAAAATACAGTCAACAATTGCTAAAAGCAAAGTTTTGCAAACATACACTCTCGCTGTAGCTGTAGCTTCTGCCCCCTCAGTTCTCAGCCACTCACCCACTCTCACACTCACACTCACACACAGTCACACATTTGTTTTTCTTGCACGGAATTTGCAGAAAATATAAAAATTTATTTATAACATAAACAACGCGAATTAAGCCAACAGAAGAACAAATTACGTATTCGCGAAAAAAAATGCGAAAATAAACAAAACAAATGCAAAAAAAAAAAACGCTTTTAAACTGTTCCGCTTCTGAACGAAAAGGGAATTATGATTCTGGGGAACTTGGCTCCGAAAAGATGATGATGATGATGTTTCAATAGTGTGCGTGGCTGTGCGTGTTTGACGTTTTGTTTGACAGCTTCTGTACTTTTGTTTATGACTTCACTCCGCACCAGCAATTAGAAACTAATTTGAGGTGGGGTGACACTTATCACGAATGTCAGTTCCTAGAAGAAGCCATCTGAGATGGATCGGAAGTTTCAAATGATCTATAAATGCAGTGAACCGCTAAAATAATAAGTTAGTTGTATGGCCTGTTAGTCAGCCTGTTGATTTCCGACAGAGTCACGTGTTCGAAACAGATCAAAGCTTCAATATTTATTATAGTGTGCATGTGTGTGTGTGTAATATTTCGTATCTGTGTGTGGCTCAGATTATCTGACATCGGATCGGGCCGAGTGCGGTAAACAATTCTGTGAAATTGTAAACTCTAGAACACTAAATATGGCTATGTGATGCACTCAATCAAGATCCAAGTGCAAATTTTCCGACCTCACATCTACCTACCCACCTACCCGTATGGAAAACCATAACAACTACAGCTACAGTACAATGAGATATATTTGTATCTGAACTTGACTCGGGCTTAGCTTTGCGTGCCGCTTTTGTTTGCACAAGATACGAGTTCATCGATGCGGTCGAGGTTCGAGGCGGGTGGGGGTGTTTGCATCTGAATCTGTGTTCGTAAATGTGATTTCGAAATTCGTTTACGTAACAGCAGCACTCGTCCCATCTCCCCCAGCACAGCCCACACTCGTTACACGGAAGCAGGGAAAGGGGTTGTGGCAGGAAAAGTCATCTTCATAGAAACACTGAGAAAAATGTATTAAATTTTAAGAAAAAAAAACTAATTTCTCTAGAAACTAACAGCCTTGTAAACCCTTTTATATTTGTCAAGAATTGGAAATAATTAACAAGTACCTACTTAAGAATTTTGAGTGTAGATTTTTAATTGCTCCGTGGCGTCATGTTTATATGTATGTGTGTGGGGGCTATGGGGGGCTTGAAATTGGGGATGTTGGGTGCACAGGAAGATGATGAATTTGGGAAGCCAAGGGAAGCTTTAGTAGCAGAGACTAAATAAGGTTAGAACCCAAAATGATGACTCGACCCAGGTGTTCACCATATTACGTATGCATCGCGTAAGCTGCAGTTCGGTTCAAAAATGGCAGCCAAAAGTGCCCAGAGAGAGAACCAAAAAGGCAGACCGAGAGAGAGAGGGCTTTAGCAAGCTCTGTTGACGCCGCTGGCGACGCTGGCTGAGCGTCAGCATCGCGTTTGTTCAGTGTGTCGCTTCGCTCTCCGGTTTTGCAAGTATGCGAGTATCTGTGTTTGTGTGTTTCAAGTTCAAGGTTAAGATACTAGTTGTAGCAAACGAGAGCGAGTGAGGGTACTTGCGTTGCGTTGCCATAGTGCTGTGCTGTACCTGCATCTGTGTGTGTGTGTGAGTGTGTGCCGCAAACTCGTTTGGCACGTTTCTTTGCGAGAGCGAGACGTGTATCGTCGAATCGAGAGCAGCGTCAAACAAAGAGGAAGCAAAAGCAACACCAGAAAGCAGACAAGCGGAAAGTACGAAAATTAAAACAAAACGGAGTCGCGTCAAACATTCAGCGAAAAAAGGGCGTGCAAACATATCTCCTGCTCGCTTGCTCCTTTTGCTGCCAAAGCTATCTTGGAGGGCAGACTCAGATTAAGTCGATTTTCAGATGCTCTTTATCGAAGAAATCTTTAAAAAGTATCTCCAAACTTAACCATAATATTATGAAATAATAACTATTTGGTTATTCTACGAAATAATTTTTCAAAATC